CTCCATTACCGCCGCAAACGTGAGGTTGTAATCAATGCCAAAGAGCTGTTCGTTTCCGCAAGCAACCAACCGAGCTTTGAACCGCTCGATGGCGCCGTCGGCGTCCGTCTTGGTCTTAAAGACCCATTTAGTGTGCAGTACGTGGCTGCCAGTTGGCGGCACCTCGACTGTCCACACTCCGTTCTCTTCAAGAGCTCGCAGCCCTTCTACCATAGCAATTACCCACGCGTCCTTGAGCCCACTCTTCATTGCTTGTCCATAGTTCTTGGGGTCCGCCTCACGCACGCTATTTACCACGTCGTGTATCGCCCCATCCTGACTATTATCGTCACTAGTCGTTCCTGCTCCAGCAGCCTTTTGAGTAGTCGACCTCGTCCGATGCCTTTCCCGTGTCCAACCGCCCTTGGACTTCCTTTTGGCTTTCTTTTTCCCTTTCGATCCCGCTCCCGTACTGGCAGCATTCGCATTGCGGTCTTCCTCGTTTGTCTCTTCCGACTCCTCGAGGTGTACGCGCCTCAGCTGCTCGTTCTGTACGTCCGTGAGCATCTCCACATTCCGTACGTGCTGGGTCACCACGACCACTTTGTCCTTAGGGATGTAGACTCTGTACCCCTTCATCTCATCGCTTTTACCAACGATTATCGCAGCTTTACCGCGTTCTCCTAGCGACTTGTTCTTGGCGTCTGTGTGTACCGTGCACGGAGACCCAAACACCACGATGTCGCTGAGGTCGGGGGTGCTCTTCGTGAGCATCTGCAACGGCGACTTGGACCCGGGGTTTGCCTTACTCGGGCTCCTATTCAGTATGTACGCCGCGTACTCTGCAGCGTCTTCCCAGAAGCTGAGTGGCAGACCACACGCGAACACCATGCTTCTCACCATGTTCATAATGGTGCGGTGCATTCGTTCTGCTTTTCCGTTGCTGGCTTGATTCCTGGGCTCGCTTACTTGCCGCGCAATGCCAGTTTCTTTACAAAACAAATCTAGAGTCTGGTATTCACCTCCTCCATCCGTCCGCAGCACATGGATACGACAGTTAAACTGGCGCTCAAAGAACGCCATGAAGTGTTTAAACTTCTGAGCAGCAACGTCCTTCGTCCGTGCCAAGAAGATCCTGCAATAGTTCGTCCTGTGATCGACGATGTTCACCATGTACCTGTTGCCGAGTCTGTCTCTTGGCGTCATTGGTCCCTTGAGATCTGAGCATATAACACCGCCAATGACGTCGATAGGTGCGTTGGCTCCTGTGTCCTTCCTGGACTGTTTGTTCTTCGTTTGCTTCCCTTGTGCGCAGGCCAAGCAGTTCGCTCGCTTCTCATCCGTGAGAAAGATTCCAGACGCAGGATTCTTGGCCATCTTGAGGATAGTATCGTAGTTGAGATGTCCTAGGCGGCGGTGAAAGTGCATCAGCGTGCCCCTCTGTACGTCTTGTCCTACCTCTTCATTCTGTTCGCTTGGAGCTAGTACCGACATGAGTACGTCGCCGGCGCTTCTTTCACGCCCCTGTACTTGCGCGCGCACCACCAACACGTTGTTGACTTTCTCTACGTCGAACACTGCTGGTCCTCCAGTCATTGCTGCAACTACACGATGTTGTCCTCGGTAGTCAATCTTGTAGCCTTTCTTCTCTAGCATTCCGTAGGAGATAATGTTCTGCTCCGAGTTCTCTGCGTACTGAACATCCAGTAGTCGCACCGTAGTTTTCTTTCCCATAGCCATGGTTTCCAGCACTATGCTGCCACGCTTGGCTACCCTTAGAGCTCCTCCGTCGGCAGCAACACACTCGCTCTCGAAGTCCTCTGGGTCTTCAAGCAAGTCCTCGTCGTTAACGAGGTGCCGACTTGATCCAGTGTCGAGGATCCATACACCTTTTTCATTGACTGAGTTATCCACTGCCAGGACAAAATCCGCTCTGGCGCCTCGCTCAGTCCCTCCTCGTTTGTTGTTCGGGCACAATGCCTTTAAGTGCCCAACCTTTCCGCATTTAAAACACTTCCTGTCGTCTATGCGATCATCGTGTACGTTGTTCACAACGTCACGTCCCAGGTTCTTACCTCGTAGCTCGATCTCCGTGGACTGTGCAAAGTGGGCCAGCTCCTCCGCTTGCCGCAGGTAATCCGTCCGGCCAAGGTTCAGTCTGGACAGCATCGACACTCTCATCGACGCGTCCGCGTAGTGGACGATGTTGTCCAAGACGAGGTTGTCGGCGCCTCCACACGCCTCACTCACAGCCACCAGGTAGAGATAGTGTTCAGTCCAGCTGCGCTTGGAGCTCTTTGGCGCTGTAAACATCTTCATCTCTGGGCGGGCGTTATCTTGGTCGCGAACGTGTGCAGCAACCGCTGCATGGCGTGCTCCAACGTCGGCTCCTCTTCCCACCACCCCTCAACCTGCTGGTTGTAGTATCTCTCAGCCATGCCGGTAAGGTGATGACCGAGGACATCCACCCTTACTTCCTCTGTCCACGTGAAGCCACTTGCGCGTTCCGCAAATAGTATCTGACGCACGAACCGTTTGCCCCAAGACAGAAAACCACTGCCGAGGCCTTGATACAGCTCCTTGCCGTCGAAGTGACGGATGCCAAGCTTCCGTTGGCGCGTATCCGGCACACGAGGAAAACCCTGAGCTGGAGCCGGCATGCCGTGCGGCATGGTTGGCGGCTGAACGTGCGCCTGGTACATGCGCGGGGGCACGTAATGCTGTAACAGCGCTGGCTGAGGAGCTTGTGCCATCTCCACGTTAGCCGCTGCGTTCTTGAACCCGTAGCCGCGCTGCTTCACACCGAAGTACGTGGCTGGAGACATTGCCGGGGAATTCCTTGTTGGCGTCCTATCCAGTGCTTCTCGGTCCATGGCCCTTCCTAGGCCTATGGCCGACTCGAATACACTTGACTCCGTTCCAGCGATCCGCTGCTGCTCCTCCTGTCGCTTCTGCGACTCCTCTAGGCGCTCCATGCGCTCTGTGAGGCCGGTGAGGAGATCCACCAGCTTCTGCTGTGGGTCCCTCGTCTCCTTGACTTCGTCGTCGCCTCCGTACTTGCTGCTGTCGGTCCTTTCGCGATCGACATCTGCGTCCGGATGCCCGCGGGCTGACTCCGCGGCGACAGTATCGTTGCTTGAGCTCATAACCTATAAGTAGATGTGAGGAAACCGTCGTATATTGAGAAGTGAGAGGAAGCTAACTACGTTCTACTCGTACCTTGCTACTTCCTCTGGCCATTCATCCTCACACCTTATTCCGCAGTAGTCCCATCCGGAGAGCGGCCGGGCGAAATGCCACTATACCGTAACCGTGGTTACACTCGGTTACAGATCTTCTTCTAACAACCGGTTCGCAATAGGGTTATTGGCGACACAGAGCACAAAACAAATATTGCACCCATCCAAAGCAAATCTAAAAAGTAAATAATTTTTCGATTAAAGTACAAAAGTATTTAATAAAAATAGTATTTTCGGAACCCCTGATCTGCCCGTCCGGATTTTAGAACCGTAGGCAGCAGCACAGATTTCTCAGCATTATGAAAGGCGAAACACCATCAACCACGAGTGAAGGCCCCCCAGCAACGCCTTGAGCTCACCATTCTCCACATGTGGGTCAAGCGCGGACGTCCCTCGCCTCCAGCAGAGGACTCCGTCTTTGACATTTCAAAGGTTAGAAACCGGCTATATATTTTGCCGTCGCGAATTACATGCGCTCTGACCCGACGAGGCGGCTTACATGGATGATGTGTGGCTCTACATTTGGCGCACACGAATTGTAGCGTGCTGGACTAATCGTGTAGCGCATTTTGGTGTTCAGTAAACTTTTAGAGTTATCACTCGGCATTAAAGCGATGACTTTTTCGTCAACTGGTGACCGATAGACGTAGGAGAATCAATATTCTTGATTATAGCGCCGTCGGACGGAATCCTAGGAGTGAATGACCGGTGAATCTACTACAAAAACGCTCGCTGACACGCGCTTGACTGCAGGACGTCTGTTTGCGATGGTTGAGATGTCCAATGACAATGCTGGTCATAACAACAGTTATTAATTTTTATCTATGGTCAACCGCAACACGGAACACAGAATGCGACCAGCCATTCTGCAACGTCTCTGCCAGACTGAGTCTATTTGGTGAGGCATGACGCTGGCAGTTATTGATGCGGTTTATCGATGGATGGTGGCCTAGGTATCACAAAACTCGCTAGTCGCCCCTGGTTACCACCAAATGGCCTGTTCAGCATCATTACGGGCGGAAGACGTGGAGCTCGGAGCCCGATCCGATGTCCTTCGCTGGATCATAGGCGAACGGTTGCATTGGTTGCTATTATATTAATAGCCACCACAGCCTGCGACGTGTTGGAATGTCCAGTTCATAAACTGGTAACATTGTCAACGGATAAAGTACCTCACCTTGCAGAGTGCTGTTCGCTGAGAGGCCATCATCAATGTCCCGGCTGTGCAAATGCGCTCATTCCTTTGCCATCATCATTAGGCTCTGCCAAAATACATATTTTTTTCAGAATTGACCCAAATTACGAAAGCGAACGGCAAAACTACACAGTCGATTGCATCGGAACTTTTGCGTGTTCCTGACAATGTCCATGACATGTCGACATTCGTTACTCAAAGCGGTTGTGCCACAGCTTGTGGAGGTAAATTTTGTCGATTCAGCGCCAGAACTGAATCCATGTGACGACATGGTTCATGTAGAAGTTATCCTTTCCCCATTATTCCGGACCCCTAATAGCCCAACAATGATGCAACAAAAAAGTTAACAAACGATGATGCAACAAAATGGTGGTACACTTCGAGTCTGCCAGAGTCGACCTGTCCGATTATGAGCCTCACGCTGTAACCAATCAAGACGACGCAACGGTCACAAACGTCTCCAGATACCTCAGTTTCTCAGGACTTTCCAGTCGAGAACAAGTGAGCAGTTTCCATTCGAGCCATTCTCCATTTCACCTTCGAGGACTCACGTCGAATACATCTCTCAGCAGTCGACTTGATCCACGATGGAAGGGCAGACCAGCAGTGCCGCCAATGGAGACAGGCCCAAGCATCTCGGCTACGAATCGGGTGCATCCATGATGGCACATGGGGCACACGAGTTGCATTACCACATGGCCACAAAGATTGAAGCTGCACTGGGCCACACCATGCCGCAAATGGACGTGCGCTTTAAGAACCTGTCACTAAGCGCCGACATCGTAGTCGTAGACGACAACAGCTCCAAGCACGAGTTGCCAACTATCCCGAACGACCTTAAGAAAATGTTTGTTGGACCCAAGAAGCGCACGGTGCGCAAGGAGATCCTCAAAAACATCAGCGGTGTCTTTAAACCAGGAAGGATCACGTTGTTGCTAGGCCAACCTGGCTCCGGAAAATCGGCACTTATGAAGATCCTGAGTGGCCGGTTCCCTATTGAGAAAAACATCACAGTGGAGGGTGACGTCACCTTCAACAACGTCCGTCGAGAAGATGTGAGCCAGACACTGCCGCAACTCGTGTCCTACGTGAACCAGCGTGACAAACACTTTCCCACTCTGACAGTGAAAGAAACGCTCAAGTTCGCCCACAAATTCTGCGGTGGCGAGTTTATGCGTCGTGATCAAGAGCTGCTATCCAGAGGTTCAGACAAGGAGAACCTGGAGGCTCTGGAAGCTACCAAGGCGTACTTTAATCACTACCCGGAGATTGTGATTCAACAACTAGGACTGCAGAACTGCCAGGACACTATCGTTGGAGACGCCATGCTGCGTGGTGTGTCCGGTGGCGAACGCAAACGTGTGACGACTGGCGAGATGGAGTTTGGCATGAAGTACGTGTCACTCATGGACGAGATTAGCACGGGGCTTGACAGTGCTGCAACGTACGACATCATCAAAACGCAGCGCAGTGTGGCACACACTCTCCACAAGAATGTGGTCATTGCGTTGTTGCAACCGTCTCCCGAGGTTTTCTCCTTGTTCGATGACGTCATGATCTTGAACGACGGTGAACTCATGTACCACGGTCCTTGTGACCAGGTACAGGACTTCTTTGAAGGTCTAGGCTTCTCGTGTCCGCCTGAACGGGACATTGCCGACTACCTGCTCGATCTCGGTACTGCGGAACAATACCGGTATCAAGTACCGAACTTCGCAACGAAGCAGCCTCGACTTGCCAGTGAGTTCGCTGACTTGTTCAAGCGCTCGAGTATCCACCAGGACATGCTGACGGCGCTGGAAGCTCCTCACGCCCCAGAGCTACTGCAAGTTGCTAGCGACAACATTAAATCCATGCCTGTGTTTCATCAAGGCTTCGTTGAGAGCACACTGACACTGTTGCGTCGGCAACTCATGGTGACGTACCGTAACAAACCGTTTGTTTTCGGTCGGCTGACGATGATTACCGTGATGGGTCTTTTGTACTGCACGACTTTTTACCAATTTGACCCAACACAAGTGTCCGTGGTGATGGGTGTTGTCTTCTCGTCGATTCTATTCCTGTCCATGGGTCAATCGTCGCAGATCCCGACGTACATGGCGGAGCGCGACATTTTCTACAAACACCGCGGCGCCAACTTCTTCCGCACAGCTTCGTACGTCTTGGCCACGTCGGCCAGTCAGATCCCGTTGGCTCTTGCGGAGACGGTGATTTTTGGCACATTGGTCTACTGGGTCTGTGGGTTTAATGCGAATGCGGCCCAGTTTATCATTTTCGAAGTGATCCTGTTCCTCATGAACCTGGCGATGGGCATGTGGTTCTTCTTCCTGTCTGCCGTGGGTCCGAACGCGAATGTGGTGACGCCTTTGGGGATGGTTTCTATTCTGATCTTCGTCATCTTCGCGGGTTTTGTAGTGACCAAGAGCCAAATTCCGGACTACCTCATCTGGGCACACTGGATTAGTCCCATCAGTTGGAGTCTCCGTGCTCTCGCTATCAACCAGTACCGCTCAAGCGAGTTTGACGTGTGTGTGTACAATGGCATCGACTATTGTTCCCAATTCAACGGCCTCACGATGGGTGAATATTATCTGGGTCTTTTCGGCATCGAAACGGAAAAGTCCTGGATTGCATATGGGATTATTTACGTTGTAGCCATCTACGTAATTTTCCTGGTTTTGACCTTCCTGGCGCTGGAATTCCTACGCTACGAAGCCCCCGAGAATGTCGACGTGTCGGAGAAGACAGTAGAGGACGACTCGTACCGGTTGGTCAAGACGCCCAAGAGTAAAGATGACAAGGGCGACGTAATTGTGGAACTGCCTGTGGGTGACCGTGAGAAGAACTTTACGCCAGTGACTGTAGCTTTCCAGGACCTGCACTACTGGGTTCCGGATCCGCACAATCCGAAGGACCAACTCGAACTACTCAAGGGCATTAACGGCTTCGCAGTCCCTGGATCAATCACCGCTCTCATGGGCTCTTCCGGTGCTGGCAAGACGACGTTGATGGACGTGATTGCTGGCCGTAAGACTGGCGGGAAGATCGCCGGCAAGATTTTATTGAATGGCTACGAAGCCAGCGACCTCGCTATCCGACGTAGTACCGGCTACTGTGAACAGATGGATGTGCATTCCGAGGCCTCTACTTTCCGTGAAGCACTGACGTTCAGTTCGTTCCTACGTCAGGACGCGTCGATCCCAGACGCCAAGAAGTTCGACTCTGTGAATGAATGTATTGAGCTACTCGGTCTGGAAGACATTGCCGACCAGATCATCCGTGGTAGTTCGGTAGAACAGATGAAGCGTCTGACGATCGGCGTGGAGTTGGCTGCGCAGCCGAGTGTGATTTTCCTGGATGAACCGACGAGTGGGTTGGACGCGCGTTCAGCTAAGTTGATCATGGACGGTGTTCGCAAGGTGGCCGACTCGGGTCGTACCATTATCTGTACGATCCACCAGCCGTCGTCCGAAGTGTTCTACCTGTTCGACAGTCTGCTGCTACTCAAGCGTGGTGGTGAGACCGTGTTCTTCGGAGAACTGGGCAAGAACTGCCGCAACTTGATCGACTACTTTGAGAACATCCCCGGTGTGGTTCCGCTCCCCAAGGGCTACAACCCGGCCACGTGGATGCTCGAGTGTATCGGTGCGGGAGTGGGTAACTCGTCGGGCAACCAGACTAATTTCGTGGACTATTTTAAGAACAGCCCATACACCGAACAGTTGCTGACTAATATGGCCAAGGAAGGCATCACCGTCCCGTCGCCGGATCTCCCCGAAATGGTGTTCGGCAAGAAACGTGCAGCCGACTCGATGACGCAGTTGAAGTTCGTTACATGGCGCTACATCCAGATGTACTGGCGGACGTCGGCGTACAATTTGACGCGGATGTTTTTGGCAATCATCTTGGCGGTAGTTTTCGGACTTATTTTCGTAGACGTTGACTACGCGTCTTATTCGGGACTAAATTCGGGTGTCGGAATGGTCTTCATCGCCGCTCTCTTCAACTGCATGATGGCGTTCCAGAGTGTCCTACCGCTGTCGTGCTCTGAACGTGCCTCGTTCTACCGAGAGCGGGCGTCACAGACGTATAACGCGTTCTGGTACTTCGTGGGATCGACGCTGGCTGAGATCCCCTACTGCTTCATGAGCTCGCTGATCTTCACCGTGATCTTCTACCCGTTCGTGGGGTTCCAAGGCTTCGTCCCCGCCGTGTTATTCTGGCTCATCCTGTCGCTCGCGATCCTCATGGAAGTGTACATGGGGATGATGTTTGCCTACGCATTCCCGAGCGAAGAAGTGGCTGCTATTATCGGAGTCCTGTTAAATTCGGTGTTCATCTTGTTTATGGGATTCAGTCCACCGGCGTACGCCATCCCCTCGGGCTACAAGTGGCTGTACGAGATCTCGCCAATGAAGTTCCCGTTGTCGGTCATGGTGGCGCTCGTTTTCGCCGATTGCGACGAGTTGCCGACGTGGAATGAGACGACGCAGATGTATGAGAACATTGGCTCGAACCTCGGCTGCCAACCCATGGCGGATTCTCCGGCTGATGTTGGTCACATTACGGTGAAGGAGTACACGGAAGAGTACTTTGGCATGGAGTACGACACTATCGCTCGCAACTTCGGCGTCGTGATCGGATGTATCGTGTTCTTCCGTATCCTCGGTCTCCTGGCGCTACGCTTCGTCAACCACCAGAAAAGATAAATCCACGCACCCAAAAATACAAATCCCCTGTTTTTACTTCACTTTGCGAAGCCTTTAATACATCGCTAAATTTAGAAGTGAACTTTACTGGGAGATAGATAGGATTAATTTGTCGTCAACTGGGTCAACGTTCATGCAACATAATTTTGTGGTCACATCATAATGCTTTGTAAAATCAGGTGATTTATGTGGAATTTTCGTGCAAAAATCAACAAAGAACTCCCTATTTACAGAACACCAGGCTTACAAAGTGTAAAATAAAAAACAAAAGTGTTATCATTCTCACCCAACTATGCCTCAATTACGGTATGGTCATTAATGGAAACCACAAATGTGATGGCCTTTACTTACAAAAACTGGTATTAAAGTGTGAAGGCATAATTTTCTTCCCATGCATTATGCATTTTCAACCGCGCTCGAGCTCCCATACATTATGCATTAAATAAATGTACATTAATTTATGTACTTATGCATGAATCGGGAGCCCTGCCTGACGCTATTCTGTGGCTCGAAGTGTTGCAGTAGTCTGGTGCTGCAGATGCACACCCAATAGTTCCCCCGCGGCAATAAGGTTGATGAATGTTGGAATCTCATTGGCGCGTTCATTCTCCTCTTGGCGCGTGATTGGCTACGACTCAGGTTGCGGTTGGTCTGCGTAAAGTGTAGTAGCAGCTCACTAGATCGCTCATTTCAGGGTAATCTTCAGAGCTCGATCGAGCATACTTAAGGTGGTCATTCAAGAAAATGGGAGCCGAGTAGTATTAATACATGTAAGTAGTTCAGTATTTCAAAGTACGACAAAATAACAATGACTTCATTTTCTGGAGCGAAATCAACGTCCATTTTCCCCACTGTACTGTATACATCACATCACACGATCGTGAGCTGTTTGCATCGCGAGACATCTACCGAGTTCTGGATATTGCATTGCCATCATCACCAGTTGGCCAGAGTAAGACTGCAGTATTATAACTGTGCACGGTAAAGACTACGTAATTGCACGTCTATTGCGGATCCGCAGATAAAATGACATGAATCCGGCCTCTGTAGGACATGTAGTTATGGTGTTTTCTCTTTATCTTCTGCAAGAAACGATCACTCTCGATTACCTCTATCTCTTCTGATGGTTATTGTAACGCAGTGACACCAGCCCCAGGAGACGGAAGAAGATGATCCAAGCAATCACGATGCCGAAGTTCCTCCAGTGGTCACTGTAGTCCATGCCAAAATACTGCTCCGCGTATTCCTTGACCGTGATGTGGCCCACCGTCACCGGTGAGTTGGCCATAGGCTGACATCCAAGTTCCGAACCAACGTTCGTGTACGCCTGTGTGGCTTCATCCCACGTCGGCATGCCCGAACACTGACCGAAGACGAGACTCACGAGGTTCGAGAGCGCGAATTGGTGCGGACAGATCGTGTAGAGCCACTCGTAACCCGACGGGATAGCGTACGCCGGGGGGCTGAAGCCCATGAACAAGAAGCAGATTGAGCTCACAGTGGGAGAAGTTTTATACCAGTCTGGTGCGACAGTATCTAGATTCCGTGCGAAAATCTGTGCGATTCGTACTTAATCGAGTATTAACAACGTATCTCAGTACATATGGCCGCTGATCGCGGCTTCGCAATAAATTATCCGATGAAGTGTAAATTGGTGAGTAAATAATGGTATTGTTTTATCTGCCGAAATAAATTATGCCTTTAAACAATTTATTTATGAAGATTCAAGCGCTCCAAAATTAACATTTTCAAGGTCAATTATAGTGGGTGACAAGAATACCTCGCTTTTTCCTTTTGCGATCTGATTTGCCACACGGAGAGCTCGAAATCCAAATACATGTAAAATTGAGCTAGTATTATTGTTTTTGATAAAATTACAGAAAACTTGCTTGTAGTCCAGAAAGGCAACGTCGCAGGTGATTCCTGAAATGAAAAATTATGTTTGTAGCATGTTCTCACACATTTTGCAATATTAATCTCTAAAAATTAAAATTCTAAAGAGCGACTGAAATTTATAGTATGGTGTATTCCATAGCGAAGCAGAGCGAAGCAAGGGAATTGTGTTTTCCACACCAGTGCGGTATACCGAAACGGTACCGGTATACACTGCTCCTGCTTGTTGCTGACCACACGTGGCGAGCTCTCTCACTTCGTATTTGGAGAACAAGCAGCAAGCAGTCAAGAAATAAAGGGGGCTTCCTACAACATTATCGCACGATGACCACTGAAGCGACCACCGAGGCCACCAGTGCTCCCATCTCGCCGTCGTCCAGGGCCGATAGTACCCCTACGGACAGCGTAGCTTCCGCCAGCAGAGACGTCGTCGTCGATGTAACAGGCGGTGACGAGCCGTTGACGGCTACATCTGACTCCGGCGTGTCAGCAGTATCCCGTCACCGTGGCATGATCGGGATCAAACGACGCCATGAACGACGTCAGGTCGAAGCCTTGACGTGTCGATGTTGTCTCGGGGAAGGGTGACGCTGGCAGCTGCACGCTGGTCGCCGGTACCTTTGTTGAAGCTGGAGCCTTCTTCGACCTTTTCGACTTGGGCGGAGCCACCTTGTCCTCGAGCTTATGGTCAGACGGCGTGTTGTCCTCACCATCGCCGGGCTTCTTGTGACCCGTACTCGCCGCAGGGGTGCGCTTCGTCGCCTTCTTCTTGCCCTTCCGGGCCTCAGTTAACGCGGCAGCGGTCGTCCCGCGATGCGCAGCACGCTTGCTGGTGCGCAGTGGAGGGGGGTCCGTTGTGGTACGCGCAGTCACGGCTTGAAGGTGAGGCGGGAGAAGTTGCTGCTACGACACCACGAGGGCCTGTTACGGAAGTCATGACAGAACTGCGTGCGCTGCGAGAGGAAGTCGTCCGTCTACGCCTCCTCCACGGTCATAACGGTGTTGGTCGGGGCGGGGCTACCCCAGCCATCGTGACAGCGCCCAACTCGAAGGGAGAGCTCCCTCCCCCGGACGTTCGCTTTCTGACAAGCTCAAGCTTCCAAGAAGGTTCCAAGAAGACGAAGGGGCGACTACAATCCTCCGCAGGCCCACCTGTTGGCTGCGAGTCGGATGTTCCGGGATTTCGGCATGAACTCAGGTAAGATTACGTCTGCTATGTCTTTTGTTCTACGGGTACGGGAGCTTGAGTGCGTCAAGTTTCGAGCGACACCGGCCGTGCTGATGGCCATCTTCAGCGGCCGACTAGGGTCTCACGGACTGACGATCATGCACTTCAAGGAGAGCAGCGAGATGGCATGCCTGGAAGATGGCTCAACCAACGCAAATTTCTCAAGCGACTTCGGCCCTTCGGCTGGGCTACCTACCGTAGGTGTTGAATGCGGTTCCTACGAGGACATCCTGGACGCCATCCACGGACTGAACGCGCTGGGTCAAGATGTGTGGTACGACTATATGCGAAAGCTTACAAGCCGGCTGCGAGTGTTCGTTTCGAAGAACAAGTCCGCAGACCCGGACACGACGCCGGTGCGTGTGCGACTTACTCTCATGTATGTAAACAAGTTCTTGGGCTCGGCCCTGGCGTACATGCAGGACGACAACACGCAGTGGTGGTCGGGCTTCTGCGAATCGCTGCGGTCGATCGAGTACCACTCCACGGGATGGGCTATGGCGCTTGTAAGCGTACTCGCCCAGGAGAAACAAGTATCTCGAGAGACGCGCGGCAACGGGAAGCGCGACCATGAGCGCAACCCCGCAATTCCGGGTGTTATTTGACGGCTAATACCACTGAACCGTCGCGGCCAAGAGCCTTGCCTCCTGAATGTGGCGGGGCTTCCATGCTCTGGAGGCTCGCGAGACCGGTGCGGCAACTCGAAGCGTGTCCACAATTGGCCGGATCCGCTACCTGCGCGTCTACAAGACTGGGTCGATCGCACGTATGGCTCCCACCACACGAACCAAGGCGACCGTCGCTGATGGGGCCGGGGGGATTGTAGCTCGACATCCTTTCGGTACGAGAACCAGATAAAGCAGGATAATACACAAGATTCTGCAGAAGTTCTGGCTACGAGCATCCTTAGCGAACTGTGTTCGGACACGCTCTTTCCGACCGAAGAGAGTTTGGGGGCGGAGGTTAGGGGGGAGCGAAGCGGTGGGGGAGGATTTTGCCGCGCGAGCGAGAAATTTCTCCGGAAGGCCTCCGTTTTGCCAACGAAATCCTCTCCTTACCTGCTGATGTACTGGGTTCATCGCCTTCCAGGTTCACCCTAACCTGCGGTGAATCGAGACAAGTGACGTCTTCGGCTATACAGCCTCCTTTGACTATACAGTCCGGGTCGACCATACAGTCACCCAAGGCCATACAGCCCCCCTTGACTATACAGTCCGGGTCGACCATACAGTCACCCAAGGCCATACAGCCCCCCTTGACTATACAGTCCGGGTCGACCATACAGTCACCCACGGCTATACAGCCCCCCTTGACTTTACAGTCCGGGTCGACTTTACAGTCACCTCCGGGTATACAGCCACCCTTGACTATACAGTCTGGGTCGGCAATACAGTCACCCACGGGTATACGGCCTGCTTTGACTATACAATCCATGTCGTCTATACAGCCATCCACGTATACACGCCCCCCGGGGTGCAGCCCATCCAGGTCAGACGATCTGTACACTAGCGAGAATATACGACGAAACGACCGACGCGATAATACGAAGTCTACCAAGGTCCAAATTCCGATGAATCCTGATATATCTACAAGCATGCCTTCGACTTCGGGTACAAGTCAAGCAAATCCAGACAAGCTACACTCGGCTAACAGAGATGGCACAGGAAACATACTTCGGATCGAAAGAACCCCACGTCGCCGTGTAGTCTCAAGTCAAACCGCGGACCAAATGCATGAGAATGCACGTCGGCGACGGGACCTGAATCGAGAAGTTCAATCGGCTACGCTCGGGAAGGCCATGGCCAGCTTCGGCATAAAGCTACCAGCGCCTGATTTCCCTACAACGCAAGAAGGCGCTGATGGACCTGTATACGTGCTTAATAAGCCATTGCAACGCTCTCTGTCGGAGCTCGCACGCCGTTCAGCTTTACTGCTACCGGCGTTCGTGGAGCTGGTTCGGGGACAAACGGAGCGGGATTACCGTCCGAACAAGACTTTGGTTCCAGCGGTTCTTGGCGAACTGTGCAGAGAGTATACGCACTTGGCGCAGATGCAGAAGATTGCTCAAGAAGGTGTCGAAGTCCAGCTAAAAGAAACACCACCTCGGCAGTCAGTTCGCCCAGTGAATCATGGCTATCTTGCGCAAGAATATCAGGAAAGAGCAAGATGCTGGGAGGTGCCTGGTCCTCGACATGGATCTTCTGAAGCAGTGGCCAGAGATAATCATTAGTCCCTTCGGCGTCGTGGACAAGGGAAGCGAGGACAGCACGGTTTCCGGACGTACGATCCACGATCTGTCATATCCTGAAGGAACATCGATCAACGATTGCACCGATCAAGACAGCATTACCAAACCTGACTACATCCACTGCGACGCGGTAGCACGGGAGATCCTAAAAGCAAAGCAAGAATTCCCCGATGTACCAATCTATGTGATGGCGGGCGACGTCGCTACAGCCTTCCGGAATATTAGCATCCACAGCAACAGCGTCTACCTGTTTGCCGGGCTGATCGAGGAAGAGAACGCCCTGGTGATCGAGCTTTCCGCGCCTTTCGGATGGACAGGCTCTCCGGGATTCTACGAGATTTTCGGCGGAGCGATTTCCCACGTTCATGGCTGCCATACCAACGCAGCTTCTCCGGCCGGTTTCTTCAATTATCACTGGGTGGATGACCACATTAACGTAGCTGCAGACATAGGAACGACCTGTTCCGACATAGACCGCTCCCTCCGTTACGCAATGGTGGCCATTCTGGGCGCTGACGCCATCAACATCGAGAAGTTCACTGCTTGGAAGACACGCCAGCGCGTTCTCGGATTGGAGTTCGACTCAGTCGATGGAGTGGTCGCACTACCGGTTTCCAAGATCCAAAAGGCAAGCAGGATTGTCGCTTCAGCTTACCACTCCCCGACGTTGACTAGAAAAGCGTATCGGTCATTAATGGGCAGCTTACGTCATGTGGCGACTTGCATTCGGGCCGCACGACCGTTCCTTCAGCGTCTCCGCCACCGTGAGGCACAACTCCATCGTTTTCAGGGCGTCTCCGTGACAGACGCAATGCGAGAAGACCTGCTATGGTGGTGGCTTATTCTGCACAGCCCTCAGCTAAACGGTGTATCTCTGGAATACTTCAACGCTCTCCCACCCCCGGATGTTGTGGTCGAAATGGACGCGTCGGATGTCGGGCTGTGTGCGCTTGACGTATTGGCGAAGACTGCGCTCACCTACGCATTTACCCCATCCGAGCTATCGCTGATAGCGGAATTCAAAATGGGAGCGGCCAACGGCTTTGACATCAACTTCCGCGAGCTCCTCTCGTGTGCCTTCGCGGTGCACGCTTGGGGAGAACGATGGTCCGCGAGCAGCCCCATCGGCAACAGACCGCGGCACGTGCACTTCCGTATCGACAATTCATCCGCTGTCGCATGGCAAAACAAGCTGGCCTCACGCAACCCCAGGGCTCAAGTGATGATCCGCCTGCTTAGCTGGTGGGAAGCATCATATCGGCTTCGGTTTTCAGCGTCTCACGTCGCTGGAACAGATAATACGCGCGCCGGTGCCGGCTCCCGTATTCCCGCTAACCCATCTTTTGCAGCTGTGTTTGCTTCGCTAACACATGGGTGGTCGCAGGTGGCCCCGAAGACGGACATTCAAGGCCTAGCCAGTATCTGGCAGCATATCTCCGCGCGCACTCCGTTGCCGACTCCACGTTTGATCAATACAATCGAGCCTTCAACAAGTGGAAAAGATGGACTTCGCGACGAGGACTTTCTCCCTGGCTTCATGGCATGACTCTCACTGATATGGTGAAGCACATATCGGATTTCGTTTTACATGGATTTCAGTTTGGCTTTGGATCCGGCGGTCCCATCCGTAGCGCCTCCATCATGGCGGTGCTCCATGGCGTTCGCCATTTCTTCGCCGCCTCCGGATGTGAGTTCCCGATTGAACACCCGCACATCCGCATGCTTCTCAAAGGAATTAGCCGTCTCGACACGCCCCGACGCCGCAAGGCACCCGTGTCAATCCACCTCTTAGAAGCATGCTTTCGAGGCCTGGCCATGGAACATCCCCGTGGCCAAGCCCTGTGGGGGGTAGTGTGCTTGGCATTCTTCTTTCTTCTGAGACGATCAGAGATCGTAGCCATCCAAGGTGGATCCTTCAAGTGGTTCGCTCTACGAGCGCAAGACATCGTGGTTGTGGATACCGCTGGGCAGCCGACTCAGTGTCCGTCACAGGCTCAGGCTGTTTGGATTCACCTGATCGGGTCCAAGACCAATCAAGGTGGGGCTCCAACGACTAGGATGCTAACTCGCTCTGGTCACCAGTTTCTGTGCCCCGTGTTCGGAGCCCTCATCCTCCATCAAGCAAGGAGGAATCTCCCTGCAAGCATCCCAGCCGCCGTGTACATCTCACGCTCGGGACAACCAGCCTGCGTATCGACCGAAGATGTGTCCGAAGCCATCAAAGGCGCTGCCGCTCGCACTGGCGGAGATCTCCGCCGGTTCAGCTCTCATTCTCTACGCGCCGGGGGAGCCACGCACATGTACCGATCTGGCACGGATGCACTTACAATCCAGTTCCACGGCCGCTGGGTTTCCTACGCGTACAAGACCTACACCAGGATCTGCAAGGAGTCCGTCACCACGCTTTCAGCGAACATGGTGGCAGGCCCACCGGGGGATTCGACGCTACATTAGTGGAGCCTCTATGCATGACCACTTAAGGGGGCACCGCTCTCCTCGTCCCTTTTCGGATCGAGCTGATGGTCATTGCATAAGCTCTCATTAATGTATTTGCTCGTTTGACCCCCAAGGATTGTGGAAAGGTGTATTCCATAGCGAAGCAGAGCGAAGCAAGGGAATTGTGTTTTCCACACCAGTTTTTTAGTAACGGTATACCGAAACGGTACCGGTATACACTGCTCGTGGCGAGCTCTCTCACTTCGTATTTGGAGAACAAGCAGCAAGCAGTCAAGAAATACCCGCCTCTCCTCGTCCCTTTTCGGATCGAGCTGATGGTCATTGCATAAGCTCTCATTAATGTATTTGTTCGTTTGACCCCCAAGGATTGTGGAAAATTGTAATTTTCGGAGATAATGCTATTGACAATGCTAATTTTGGAGGCCCTGATGAACGATGGGTCAGATCATCAAGGCTAACTGCAGAGGCAATCACGGACGAGTCCTTAAACACGTCGAAGGAAGCTACAGAGCTCAAGAACCAGTCTGGCAACAACAGTCACGATGGCTCGGGTGCTGGAGGTGTCTCTGGAAACTACCTGGCAACGAAAAGCAGCACATTTGGATCAGTACCATGCATGCACCGATTGACAAGTGCACGATACTTTGAATTAACGGAACTAGCCTCTGTACTCCAGCAAAGGCTTCGCTTCCTTTCCTTCAACCATTTTGCATACGCGTCGAATACGCGCCACAAGGGCCGCAAAGCGATCGAAGGTCATAACAACGTGCGTAAAGAGCCCGCTCAAGCGCAGCCTTACCGGTGGTCCAACTGCACGTCTTGCATTTAAGAGCGGTTCTTCTGAATGATCACTTGAGCTTCACACTGGTAGTCGCTTCCGAGTGCAACCGCGATACAGGAAATTGCTAAACTTCGATGCTCTCTACGAGTGTCGATGCGCTTCCAATCAAAGTATTCACATTCGCTCTTGTTCAACTTGCTGACGTACGAGCCCATCCTGTCGGCATTTTCCACGGTACCTGTGTAAGAACTAGCTAAAATAGGAGAAGCATATTCTTGTCGTTAATCCATTGCCATGGTGAACGTGCATAGCAAATTCACCTTCTAGAACAGTCTCCAGCGTGAAAAAGTCACTCTCGCGAGAGTGCCAGAGACACTTGTAAGGACAGAGGCGTTTGAGTGTGCACCATCTCTCCACAAGTCAAGCAGTTTGTAACCAGATCCAAGTTGCTGCGTCCGAAGCTAATTGTCGCTTTGCTGCACACCACACAGAAACCCGATCCAACTTGGATTCCAAGGGGGGCCATGCGCGTCATTCCGAAATCTGCTAAAGCTCAGACACAAGATGAACCCCACGCTTGCCGTCGCTGTGAAGAAGGCCGCGCGCTTCTCGCCCGCAGGCCGCCGCCTGTTTTCATCGGGCAAGGACATCCGCTTCGGCGTGGAAGGTCGGGCCGCTATGCTTAAGGGCGCGGATCAGCTGGCCAACGCCGTGCAGGTGACCTTGGGCCCCAAGGGCCGTAACGTGGTCATTGACCAGTCGTACGGCGCTCCCAAGATCACCAAGGACGGTGTGACTGTGGCCCGCAGCATTGACTTCCAGGACAAGTTCGAGAACATGGGCGCGCAACTCGTGCGCTCGGTGGCCAGCAGCACCAACGACGCGGCCGGTGACGGCACCACGTCGGCCACGGTGCTGACGCGCGCCATCTTCAGCGAGGGCTGCAAGTCGGTGGCCGCCGGCATGAACCCCACGGACCTGCGCCGCGGCATCCAAATGGCCGTGGACCACGTCGTGGACGGTCTGCAGAAGCTGTCGATGGACGTGGCCGACAAGGAGAAGGTGGCCCAGGTGGCCACCATCTCGGCCAACTCGGAGACGGAGATCGGCAACCTCATCAGTGACGCCATGGAGCGCGTGGGCAAGGAGGGCGTGATCACGGTGCAGGATGGCAAGACGCTGTACAACGAGCTGGAGGTGGTCGAGGGCATGAAGTTCGACCGCGGCTTCATCTCGCCCTACTTCGTCACGGACAACAAGACCCAGTCGTGCGAGATGGAGAACCCGTACATCCTTCTGGTCGAGAAGAAGGTCTCGAGTCTGCAGGCCATCATCCCCATGTTGGAAACGGTCGTGAAGCAGCAGCGTCCGCTTCTCATCATCGCTGAGGACGTGGAGAGCGAGGCCCTGGCTGCTCTTGTCATCAACAAGATCCGTGGTGGCGTCAAGGTGTGCGCCGTCAAGGCCCCCGGCTTCGGTGACAACCGTAAGGCCAGTCTGCAGGACATGGCCGTGCTCACGGGCGCCACTGTGATCTCGGAGGACCTAGGCCACCGTCTTGAGACGGCCACCCCGGAGATGCTGGGTGGCGCCAAGAAGGTGACGGTCACTAAGGACGACACCCTGATGCTGGACGGTGCCGGCTCGGCCGAGGCCGTGGAGGAGCGTGGCAACCTGCTGCGTGCCTCGATTGAAGGTACCACGTCTGACTACGAGAAGGAGAAGCTGCAGGAGCGTCTGGCCAAGCTGAGCGGCGGTGTGGCCGTCATCAAGGTGGGCGGTGCCAGCGAGGTTGAGGTCGGCGAGAAGAAGGACCGCGTTGTGGACGCCCTGAACGCCACCCGTGCTGCCGTGGCCGAGGGTATCGTGCCCGGTGGCGGTGCCGCTCTGCTGTGGGCGTCGCGTTCGCTCAACACGCTGTACGACTCCTGCGCCAACCTGGACCAGAAGGTGGGCGTGGAAATCGTGGAGCGCGCCTGTCGCGCCCCGGCCACGCAGATCGCCAAGAACGCCGGCCACGAAGGCGCCGTCGTTGTGGGCAAGCTGCTGGAGAATGACTCGCCCGAGCTCGGCTTCAACGCCCAGACCGGCGAGTACGTGAACCTGGTGGATGCCGGTATCATCGACCCTACCAAGGTGGTGCGCACGGGTCTGGTGGATGCCTCGAGTGTGGCGTCGCTTATGATGACGGCAGAGGCTCTTATCGCCGACCACCCGGAGGAGGCGGCGCTGCTGCTCCTATGGCGGCATGGTGCATGGGTGGATGGGCGGCATGGGCATGATGTAAGAAACCTGCCTGCTACCCGTCCGTTCCGTCAGCTTTGCGGAGAAATCCGTGCGGGAGACGATCCGATGTGAAGCGTGGAGCTGTTGCGACTGAACGAAGGTGGCCATGTAATGTCGTGTGCATCTACATCTCGAGCGCCCTCGTTCTCAAGTACAGAAGAGCGTTAAGCATAAATAGAATTATTAGTTCGCAACCAACCTCAACCTGATTAAATCATTGTCGCGAAAGAAAAATTGGGAAACTTCAGTTTCGCTGGCCAAAGTGCCAGAGGTGGCCAGAACCTTTACCATTGACACTGCCAATGCTTTAGGGTCTGCAAGTGATGATGGTTTCTTTTGCAGGCAACTGCCTAAATCAGGTAATCAAGGCGGCAGCACAAATACGATGCCTTTCAACGAAAGTTTCGTGAAATTCATGGTGACGGCCCTGTCTCTGTCTTAATTTAAATGTATCGGTATCCAAAAAGTTTCATAGCTGGCGTCATTTTCGAATCCGCCCCAGCCAGTGCAAGTCCTCTCGAGTCATGACACTGGACGACGATTCCTCAGCCTCGGGCGTGCGCCAGCGCAAGCCACACGGCGGCACCTCCAGTGACAGGCCATCATCCCCCGAGGCCTTGGCGGAGGAGGCCGTCGCTTCGGCCTTCTCGGCCCCCAAGGATGAGCAGTCTCGAACCAAGGAAACGTTTCAACATGCCGCTCGCTCGCTCGGCCGGACACAAAGTTGGCACGCGCGGGCGGCCGACCACGTGGCCAGGAAGCGCATCTACTCCATCATGGCCGGCGTCATTATTGGTGTCGCGGCCGTTATCAATTTTCAGAGATTTTACCTGGAGAAGCCTCTGATCAGCGAAGACTCATTGCTCATGGTCCGGGAGATGTTTGACAACTTTAACTGGTCCGTGAACGTTAAGGAAGAGCTCATGGCTGCCTTCGATAACCGGCCACCTCTTATGGGTGCAGCCGAGATTCGGCCCGGTGTCCAGTTGTTCCAAGAGAACGTGACGGCCAACTCGCCTGTTGTATTGGTGCCCGGCTTCACATCTACGGGCCTCGAGATCTGGAACGGTAGCGAATGCAGCAAGGCCTATTTCAGACAACGTATGTGGGGCACATCCAGGATGTTGCAGCAGTTTATGATGAACCAAAAGTGCTGGTTAGAGCACATGATGCTCAACCGGTCGTCAGGTATGGACCCGGACGGCATCAAGTTACGCGCGGCCAAAGGCTTAGAAGCGGCCGACTATTTGATCGGCGGCTTCTGGGTCTGGGGAAAGATGGTGGAGAACTTGGCCGAGATCGGATACGACAGCAACAATCTGTACATGGCCGCGTACGACTGGAGGCTCATGCCGCATCTTTTGGAGAAGCGCGACGGGTATTTTACGAAACTCAAATACACTATCGAGATGGCGCGAATGTCGGCCGGCGGCCACAAGGTGATGCTGGTCACGCACTCGTATGCTACGCAAGTGTTTTTCCACTTTTTGAAGTGGGTAGAGAGTGAGAACGGAGGCAAAGGTGGCGACCAGTGGGTGGAGACCAACCTTGAGTCCTTCGTTAATATTGCCGGCCCGACCTTGGGCGTGGTCAAGACGATCAGTGCGTTGATGTCGGGCGAGATGAAGGATACGGCCGAGCTGGGCGGGCTGTCCAAGTTCCTCGGCTACTTTTTCAGTGTGTCGGCGCGTACGCAACTGGCCCGCTCGTGGTCGAGTGTGTTCTCGATGATGCCTATCGGTGGTGACCGTATCTGGGGCACGGCCGACTCGGCCCCCGACGATGTGGTAGCGGCCTCCCCGTTATCGACCGGAAAGAACTCGACGATCGACCCAAGGAAGGTCAAAGAGCACGTGGCACGCTACGGATCGAATGGCCACGTCGTTCGGTTCGTCAATACTTCACACGAGAACGTCACTATCGGAGGCGTACAGAAGATGCTGGGCAAATTAGACCCGTACCTTGACCAGTTCCGTTCGTGGCTGAGTACCGGTATTGCCGAAGATCTGTCCTTGCCTGAATACGATCAATCCAAGTACTGGACGAACCCGTTGGAGGCTGCTCTACCCAAAGCTCCGAGCCTCAATGTGTTCTGCTTTTACGGTGTCGGCAAACCTGTTGAGCGAGGATACACGTACGGAGACAACCCGCCCGATGAAGATAACGCGACAGTGAACGGCAAACGTGTTGCTCCGTACGTGTTCAACACGGATACCGACGATCTTCCGTACATCAAGGGTGGGCTCAGATACTCGGACGGAGACGGCACGGTGCCGCTGATCTCTCTGGGCCTCATGTGTGCCAGTGGCTGGCGGACGAAGAAGTTCAACCCCGGCAACGTCGACGTACGTGTTCGTGAATACCGACACAACCCCGTGTCCATGCTGTTCGACGCGCGTGGCGGACCTGAGACGGCCGATCACGTCGACATCATGGGCAACCACGGTCTCATCCGGGACGTTCTACTCGTCGCCGCTAGGGCGTACGACCGCGTGCCTGAAAACATTACGTCCAGCATCATGGAGATTGCCGAACGTGTCGGAGAGCTCTAATACCGTCATTTTAATCGTCTTTTGCTCAAGTATAAGCATGTTAGACTTCGTGTTTTGCTCCCACCTAAACGTTGTATCGATGCGTGTGCTTGTTCTACGTAGGTAGGCTAGACTAGCGAGTACTACGAAACGGGCCTTGAGGTGCTAGTGTAGCTGTCAGATCTCACCGACGGCGCCCGCCACGTCGATTCCGACGGTTGCTGTTCATGCCAGGCGACGGGAGTACATGGTTCTGCTGGAAGCGCTGTTGCGGAGGCGGTTGCTGCTGCTGCCCGTAGTTTCCCATGGGTCTACCTCCTCCACGCTGCTGGAACTCGTCTTGGGGTGGGCCATACTGATCGTACGGATATGCAGAGAAGTTGCCACGGTGCTGTTGCGGTGGCTGTTGCTGCTGGCCATAAGGCCCTTGCTGCGGCGGAGGTTCCTGATAATACGGGGCGTCTGTAGGCATGCGTGAGTTGCCGTACGAAGCGGGGCCCGAGCCATCCGGAGGACCTGCACCTGCGCCATAACGCGCGAGAGAAGGATTTCCACCAGCAGGAGGACCAGAGTGTGACCGAATCGGCTGCTGAGGCTGGTGGAATACCTGTTGCTGTTGCTGTGGCCAACCGCCAGCAGCGCCTCTAGAAGGGCCGCCTTGTCCTACAAACCGATCGCCATGCGGGCCATCCTGCGGGCCAGCGAAGTAGGCTCCTGAAGGTTGCGGTGCATACGCTTGCTGGTCCGGCATGGGACCCTGTCGGCCACCGTATTCATCGTAATGCGATGCATTGGGCATACCGTACGGCTGCTGCTGGAATGGACGTGGCTGCTGCGAAGGAGCCTGCATCTGCTGTGGCCCACGGTCATACAGGGGCATTTGCTGCGCAGGCGCAGTCTGTTGTCCAGGGTAATCGTAACGTGACTGCTGCGAGGGCGCAGCAGCGGCAACAGGACCTGACTGAGGAGGCTGGATGTCCCACTTGTTAGAGCGGCCTCGACCTCCACGCGGGTCACGATCGCGGCGGCGATTGTTGCCATTACCGCCCCAGTTACGAGCACCGCGTGGGTCTTGCCGGTTGCCACTGCCACTACCACGAAAGCCACCACCACTAATAGAACTACGCGCAGTCGAGTGACTGGAAGTCGTAGAGTCCTGACTGTCTCTCCTCTGTCTCGCAGGAGGCCGACTAGAAGAGGCAGAGGAAGAGGCTGTCTGACTCTTCTTAGCAGCGTCAATACTGCGCTGATTCTCCTCACGCCACAGCTTTTCTGCTTCAAGAATCAAACCTACAATAGCGCGCTACCAAAAGCCCCAAGCAACACACAAGTTAGCACACACCACTCAACTAGAACTCACTGTACACGAACCTGCAAACTGATGGCTTCGGCCTCCGTTGTCACCTGAATCTCCGGGATCTTCATGTTCTCGAGCGAAATCTGTTGGGCCTTGAGCGCGCCGGCACGATCCATTGCACAAATGTCGATAAACTGTTGTTGAGACATCTGACACCGACTAGAGAACTCGCGACGCTGCTCCAAGTGCTGCGTCTTGAGTGCGATGAGGCCACGCGGGTCCGAGAAGCCGTGCTGCATCTCCAACGCCACATGGCGCGCAAACAGCTCGCTGCCCTCTTTCATCTGCATGGCCACAAGTTCCTGCCAACGGTACAGCATCTCGCGGTCACGAGTGCGTTGGTTGTCGCGGAGATCGCGTACGCCTTCAAAGACGGCGCTATCTCCTAGAACGTCCGACAAACGTTCCAATAGTTCGTTGCCAATCTGCTTCTGGGCCCCGCCGTCGGCCACGCTATCAAACAACAAGTGCGGACAGCTGGGGATAGACGGTAGCGTCACAGGGATGTGCGAGAAGAAGGCCGTAGGCTCGGCCGGGGTTGTGGCCGCCGCTACGTCTTGTTTGGCGCGCTTGGCACCGCCAGCAAGACGTGGATCTGCCGGCCGCTTGACGGCCCCCAAGTGGCCGACACTCTCGACCGCTAGAGGTGAAGGCGAGGGCGTCACTTCGCCAGTCTTGTCAATAAAAGCTACGACAGGGTATACCAGCGACACGGCCCCAGTCTTGGGCTGCTGTTGAGGCTGCAGCGTGCTCGGCAGCGTGGCAGTAGCCACAGAGGCGGCGCTAGTAGCAGAAGGAGCAGCAGTGGATGCGGTTCCAGGCTGCGGGAACTTGTCGGGCATAACCTGATGCTGCAGCATGGCCAGCGACAACTTATTGTCCACATGAGTACATACAAAGCCATAGAATCGGGCCCACACGGCCGTTTGCTCCCGTTCGGGCAGTGTCTGCAGGGCCCGCACAAAGATCTTCCTGGCATTAGAAAACTTCTTCCTTTGTACGCAAAAGTCTGCGTATTGCAGCCATAAGGCCGTGCAGGAGCCAGCGATGGGGCAGCTTACAGCTCGTTCGAACACCTTAGTGGCCTGTTTGAACTGCCGCAGTTCCATTTCTAGCGCCGCGTATTGACGCCATAAGGCCACGACGGCGGTGCTGCCTCTGGCCACGTTCATGGGGTCGCTCTGCGTCTGAACAAAGGCCACCCATTTGGCCACAGTGTCGTCCACATCCTTCCGTGCATCGGCCACTTTGTCGTACTGTGAATATCAAGGACAACAGTGGAAAAAAGGGAATAATGAGCGACAGGCGTTTGAAGGCGGTTATGATGGATACAGAGAGATCCGAGAGCTGCGCCTTGTGTGTAAATATAGAGAAGACGCAGGGGAATATGAGGACACGCACGTTGCTCGAGTGGATCAGCGCTTTGGCCCGCGCCACGACGCCAGAAGCGTCCCACGTTGCAATATCGTCCGCCATGGAGAGTTCTGTCGCGGTTGTTGGATGGAGAGCCGATTGGTCGTTTGTTGTGTGTTGTACATTAAGATGATGCAATCATCTACCTAAGTAGCCATAAGGCTTCGGTATCAGATTTGACGGGCGATTCCTCCCAGAAATGGTGAAACATTCTATTGATTCGATCCAATTTTATTTGATAATTGATCGGAATACGTTAGGTGCCAAGGGCAATAGAGCTACATTTTACACCTTTTTATTACTGCAGATTCATACCAGTGGGATAACCACCGATCACTTCTTCATCAAAGTACATGTAAATAGGTACATTGCCTTTTGTAGATGAACTGTCCCTCCGTTCTATATCCTAGATCGAGAATGGTTGAAGCATAAAACCAAGCATAAACATCGATTTGCTTTCGAATTACCTTTTCAAACTTTGCTCACAAAAAATCTCAAGAGTGCAGTCTTCAATTTGCAGATCAATCCGGCATTATGGTCAATAGCTCAAATCGTTTACTCCAGGTATTTTTCGAGAAGACAAAGGGGCTCTTAAGTTGGCTTTTCACGCCAACTTGCCGAATTCATCTCGGCGCAAGTCAACTCGATGCAGTGCTCCAGAATGTACCAAGAAAGCCCAGACACGACGGCTCTGCAAGGCACACGGAGGAGGAGTACGTTGTCGTAGTGCAGACTGCCAAAAGCTGGCACAGTCTGGCGGACTTTGTGTCGCCCACGGTGGTGGCAACCGCTGTGCCACCGAGGGATGCATCAAGCTTTCTCAGTACAATGGGGTTGTGCTTAGCTCATGGAGGTGGAAGGCGCTGCAACTTTCCAAATTGCCAAAAGTTTAGGCAGCCGTCATCTGTGCAAGGCCCACGCCAAAGCGCAGATCAAAGTACGAGAAACCCTCGAATCGAATTCCAAATTTTCCATCAACTTCTTGATGAATCCAGTCGACAATGCGCAGCTATTGCTGCCAAATGTATCAGCTGCTGTCTCCTCTACGTGAGTCATTCGAAAGTGTATGTACCACTATTGTGAAGACCAAATACATGACTAGTCGTTAGTCGTCTGATCTAAATGGCTGCAATGAGAACGAAACGAAATACCGAAAGATGCTCAATTCAAAATACTAAGTAATGTATTTTCACTTTCGACGAAAACCTGCACTGGGATCGATAACTAGCACATCAATACAGGCGCGGAATGTCCAGTTTTGGAGGTTCTTGAACCTCTTTGTGGCTGTGTTACTTTGAAGCGGGTTCATTAGAAAATCAATCGAGAATTTAGATGTGGTGCGACGCGTTGAGAAGGTGACCGGATGTCGACGAAAAGCTTGTAGCGGCAGACGCCATCTTAGCGTGCGACTTGCAGAGGTCTCGGATCTGTCTAAACTTTCGACAATCGGGTACGCTACAGCGCCGACCACCTCCGTGTACCAGACATAACCCCCTGTACTGCGAGAGTTTGGTACAGCTGTCGACGGCACAACGACGACCTCCTCCATGTGCGACGCATAACCCTCGGCTTTGGGCCAATTTTGTGCAGTCTGGAAAGCGACAGCGAGCACCTCCTCCGTGAGCCTTACACAGTCGATTAGTTTGTGCCTTTCTGGTACATTTGACACCCAACACATTGGTGTCTTCCGCTGAGTACCGGATGTCATGTTCCTGACCGACAGGAAGCTATAAAGAATGAAAATCGCCGACTTGGGTTTGCTTTGATTGCGTACAACTAGCAGGCATGATCAACTTGTAAGCTACAACGGAATCAATTTTAACTTAGCAAATCGCTAAATTTAAATTCATTCTTCCAGTTAGCTAATCAAATTTAAGAAAAAGTAACGCTAAAAAAGTGAACAGTGCTCGATGATTAGATCGTTTTTGTATTTCTGAATTTTGTGTACGGCGACACACTATTTATTTTGCTCGGCAGTGGTTGGGTGGTTGGTTCTGAGGATTCTAGTAGCTCTGTAGCTCGTTTTCATGTTCATTCTGCAATTTGCAAATCTATAAACCGACCTTAACCGCAACCGTCATGTCTGATGCCCTTGTCGCTCGAAGAGCAAGTTCACGCCAAAGCAAATCGCCTGCTTATACTTTAAGCCCTATCTTACCGAGGACGGGGACCCCACTGACCTGCAAGTCTGCAAGGCATGTGGCAAGACACGGGAGCAAGCACCCAAAACTGGGTACACCAATCTGGTATCCCACGCTAAGTCCGACCACGATAACTTTGAGGTCGAGATGGAGGTTGCCAGCACCGCTGCCACGGGGACGCTACTTCCGTGGGTGCGTCAAAAGGCATCTAATCGGCAAGTATGGCTCGAGTGGGTCGTCAAAGGAAACCTCCCTCTCTCCTTCGTAGAGATGAAGTATACAAGGCGGTACGTAATTAGCGAGGGTACTGTACCGTTCTTACCTATTCCAGTTAATTATTTTCTAAATAATCATTTCTATGTAAGGTACACCAATTTGGCGACCATGTGTGAAGAGACGACATGGAGAGCGTCACAAAAGCGGTCGAGGTGAGCATCGGCGACGAGCTCCCGGAGCGGTTTAGGGCAATTCTGGACCACGGCAGCGAGCACTACCTTGCAGTGCACGCGTGCTACGACAAGGATGGGGTTCGCCACTGCCCCCCCCCCCCCCGCCCGCTCTCTATGGCTCCAATCGTCAGCGGACCGGATGACCGGCTCACGCCGAAAGCCATATGTCTGCTTTGGCGTCGTTTTGTACCGTTTTTCGGTAAGGATCTCTCTAATGTCATATTTGTTGGTAGAGGTAATTGTGCAATAAACAGACGGCTAGCCAGGCTGATGGGCGTACCGCTTGTCGGCTGCGCCAGTCATCACCTCAATTTGGCTGTCCGGTGTTTTCTGGAGCCCTACAAAAAGGCGCTGGAGCAGGTCCAATCCCTCATGAAGCGCCTGCGGACAATCACATCATTTGGCGACTATCTCGGTACATGGAAAATTTTTTTTTATTTTTTTTATTTATTAAAATTTTGTTTCCACGTTTGCAGCACCAAATGCCGAAATTGTGCATTCACCTGACTTTGAGTCGGGTGTCGTGAAAGTGCTGTTAAAAGATGACTCGTGCAGAGAGGTCATCGCTGCAACCATTTCTCCGCCGTGCTCCTCATCCGGTTCATCAGGAGAAACCGACTAAAGTCGGTTTCGCTGATCGAATTTTAGAACGGCGCAAGGTGGACGATGCACCAAGCGCATACGTGTTGCTCGGTGCAATCCCACCGACATCAAACATCGTTGAGCTTTTGTTTAGCACCGCCCGAATGGTATTACGCTACGAGCGCAACCGCCTATCAGCGCTGACACTCGAGATGATCTTGTTTTTCAGGGTCAATCATAAGTACTGGAACGTTACTACCGTCGGCGGGTTGCATCTAGATAGGAGGTGGTGAGCAAGCACAATAATTACACTGATAATGTATTAGTGTTATGATCAAACTTCAGCTATTTATTTCTATTAGCGGGGCTTTTCCTCACGCAAATATTGGCGCACGTAAAAAAAAAGAGGTATAAATGATATTTTCGGGTTCCCTGCCGCTACATACGATATTATCAAGACGCAGCGCAGTGTAGCGCACAAGGTGTGCATGACCGTCGTCATCGCGCTATTGCAGCCGTCGCCTGAAGTGTTCGCTCTGTTCGACGACGTCATGATCCGGAGGGACACATTGAGACTCTTGATTTCAGGTGCCCGCCTCAGCGTGATATCGCCGACTACTTGCTGGATCTGGGCACACACGAACAGATCGAAGGTCCACCCAGGCAACCGCGACGTGCGAACGAGTGCCCAGCCAGCTACTTCCGCGAGTCTCGTATCTACCAGGTCCTGGTCGGTAGAATTCATAATGGTCTAATACCAGATGGGTCTGGGCCAGGGCTCAGAATTTATTAGCGTAAAATACGGATACATTCTGATCAACCAGCTGGACCAATAAAATAGTCATGAAATTCGTACATAATAGTTCAATGTAAAATTCACTCCATTTGGCCATTTGGTGGAACCAATTTCAATTTGCATCCCCTCGCAGACGTCATACTAACCGATATAATGCACGTAACTAACACTTGGCTATTCAATAAATCTACAGATGCTTGGCCGTAATGCCTCCAACTTCATTAGCAAGAATTTGCGATCGGTTTGGAAATACTAAGAGGAACTGGAGAGGTAGATTCTTTTTATTTTACAGTTATCTGTGTTGTGCACGACGTGGATGAAACGGGAGACACAGCCTACAGGACTACCATTCACTGGAAGGGCTTCCAGATGACAAGGGGCTACATCTCGGAGACGAAGACAGCTTACCGGTGCAGCTACTACCGTGGTCGCCGTGGTGAGCCTGCCTGTCTCGCCAAGCTGGATGAGATGCCACAAGGTCGTGTCAAGGAAAAAACGATTTTCTCACACGTGCAGCTCGACCGAAAGCCAGAGTCGCGAGCGTACTAGCCAGTCTTATGGCCGCGAGGCTCGGGCCGGTGAGATCAACGAGATTTTGGATGAGTCATCTGAGGGAAAAAGAGAGTCGGCTGCACCACCGGAACCTCAAGATATGAGTCAGGAATTGGCTGACGATACCAATATCTTGGCCATTCAACAGATTTCCGCGCCTTCTACGAAGATTTGGAATCTCATTTAAGAAGAGCTCACCGGTGGCGCAATCAGACGAGGGTTGACGCAGGAGCATGTCTTCAGCCGCATCTATCGAGCCCGGAATCGGCACTTTGGAGGATCAATATACGGTCTAGCTGAAGTCCCTCCTATTTCGCTAGCTCGCGACGGGATGAATTTCTTTCAGATCAACTTCACGTATTCTAGTGAAGACGGCCCATAACGCGCTCTTGGATGAGGACACCTCGCGCTGATTCGGCTACTGAGTTACGCCAGCGTATCTCTTTTCATCGACGGCACATTTCACTGTGTTCCTCCATTTTTCAAACAGTGCCGTCATCATGGTGTACGACAGAGCGTCCCGTTGCTACATCCCTGCCGTCACAATGCTATCGACTAGCAAAACTGAGTGGAGTTGGTGGCACTGTCTACGCTGTGTACAAGTCACGACCAGCATGAACATGGAGCCGGGGACAATCATATGTGACTACGAAAATGCAAACTCTATGCGGTGAGGGATCAATTCCCTCACAGTAAGATCGTCGGTTGTCTCTTACATTTCAAGCAGGCGGTTCATCGTCGGATGCAGAAATTGAGCATTCCGATAGTTGAGATTTCTACTGCAATAGGTCGAGGAATGCTCGACATTCTCGCAATTTTGCCATCGACCAGATCGACCCTCTCAGTACTGAATACGTCATCGAGCGTATCCAGGCGTCCCTAGCAGAAAAACACATTATCTACAGTGAGGATAAATGGGGGGGGTCTTTTGACCCTACTTTCGTCGAACGTGGATTGAGATTATCCCCCCTCGTCTTTGGAATGTTCGTGGCATTAGCCGGCGTCTAGTCAACCGAACCAACAGCCCCCTCGAAAGGTATAACCGCAAATTAAATTCAGCATTCTCAACACCAAGACCTAATCTCGCCACTTTTGTTGGTGTACTCGAGAGGCACGCACACCACGATCTCATTTTGTTTGACGACATTACCAGAGGTCGTGCGCAGCTCAGATTTTCAACGCGTTGTGGTATTTCGTTGGATTGACTGGGAGCTCTCTTTACGGCTGTTTACTACCTCTTTGTTCGCTTCTTGGGCTTTGGAGCTGGAGTGCTGTTCTGACTGGCCTTTTCGCTCGTGGTCTTGATGCAAGTCCTTATGGGTATCAGCGCGTGCGGCTATTATTGGATTAATGATTTTTATTATAATTATGTATTTCGAAGTATTAAATTAATTTTTATTCTGAATTGCTTATTTAACTGTTTTGGCTGAACCATTTAATTACGAATAGCTTTTAAATCATTTCAAATCATAATGCAACTCAAACAAAACTTATTAAATGTACAGCTTAAGCGAGGCCAACCAAAGTTTAGTCCTCGCCATCTTCCTTCTCCAACTTGGAAAACGAAGCTACGTGACTGATCACTGGCATTTCGCATGATACGCCTCCCCAATTTGTTTGGATGGGTTTTAATTTCAGAATATTATTGGCGGCAGTAGAAGTATCGCCGAAGTATCCTTTAGATCGAAGATTGCAAAACGTGAAGGCCTTGTCGGTTTCTCTTTGCCTCTCATCCATTTCGGCGTCATTTTCAAACAATACAAGCCGCGATGAAGGACATACGGATGTGTATTGTGCCTTGACAAGCCACAGTCAAAGGAGGTGAGAAAGCAGAACATCGTAGCTTTTCCTATAGAGCCGAGCGCTGCGATGCGGAAGGTGTGCGCAGTGGTCCAGGCACGACGATGACTGCAGCAGCCAGAAGCGCCAAGGAAGATCACCGACAGCCAAGGCAGCTAAACAAACCAAAGTTGCTCCGAAAGAAGCTGATCGGACGCCTTCACGCGAGATTCTTCAAGCTGTCAGAGGCGCGAAATCGGTAAGAGCTACTAAATCTCGCGAAATTGTGGTATGTTCTAAAAAAAAAAGGTTTCTAACTTATATCTGGTCAGCGTTTCGGCGCGATTTTAACGCAAGCCGTTTGAGTTTAGGACTTCGCGCTTTAAACACAACTTTCGGCTCACTTTTCGGGTGGGTTCCGGCGAAAAGGAGATCCTCGGCGTCGTCGCGGATGAAAGTGGAGTAGCTGGTCCGAAATACTTAAGTGAGGACAAGTCTTTTGTGGATCTGAGCGGTGTTAGTGAAACCTCGCAGGTGTTTGGACCAGCTCATTTCGAATTCAAACTTCGTGCTGATTACTCTGCTGAATCTGGCGATTTCGAACAGATTTGATCGCTTGGAATGGGCAACGGTTTCAATTTGTGTGGAGACTTGGAGGTCTACCGAAGCTTGATCCAAATGAATCCGGGACTAAGCTGGTGAGCACTCTCCCTGCTGGTCTGTGGATTGTGAAGTGCCAGAGACAAATCTGCGGCTATCAAAGATGCAAGAGAATTAATCACAAAGACTGCAAAAGCGTCACAAAATTGAGAGATTTGCAACACATGGACCAAACGGAATTATAAATATTGCCGACGTTGCGTGGAAATTCTTCGCAAACCAGTGGTGGAATATCCCAGCCTCGCTTCGGAGATTTCATTTGATTGCAAGAACGACGACAAGTGTGCTACCTTTGGCTACAGGAGGTCTCATGTGAATTGTCTGAAGCGTCAATGCATTTTACCAGCGACTTTTGGAAGTAGGTAACGTCGCGAGCTCTGCGAAAGCTGTGTTCCCAAGACGGGAAAGAAGGCCAATTTTTCAAACCTCCGCAATACTTGCGTCGAGTGTGGCATGATTTCAAAATCAAGACTTTCCCGCGGATTAATGGGCGGGGTCCCTACACACTGCAGCAAATGTGGAAAGAAGAAGGGTTTAGTGAACCTTTATCCGCAGTACGGGTTTTGTGGCTTCCAGCTTCAAGATGGTACTGAGTGTACCAATCCCGTTCGCGCGATCGCTGATGGGATACCTAGGTGCTCACTACATAAATATGGGAAGGCTGTCACGGCCGTCAGTCTGTGTGACGAACCCGGCTGTCAGAGAGAAAAGAAGACAAGCAAGAACTGTATTAAACACGCAGTGAACCACAAAGTGGAGACCGCGATATGTGGCGTTTGTCTTCTCTGTGACGATCTCAAGCCAGCGCAGTATGGTTTTGGCCGATGGAAGGCTGTGCGCAGGCTGCAAGAGCCGCTTTAATCGCGAAGATCCGGGGCTCGAGTACTGAAAGATAAAACGAGATTAGTATCAAGGAGAAGGATGCAGCAGAACAGCGATATTCGGCCCGAAGGCGGAGCATTGTGCAAGTTGTAAGGACAAGAACAACTGCTTGGAAACGAAGAGCGTTATTTTGGTAAGATGTACGAGCGAGGGTTGCTCCACAATCGCGTATTTCGGTGTTCAACGCGGGAAGATAAGCTACTGCGTGAAGCACAGGCCAACCGGCAAGAGAGACATTGTCACGCCGTGATGAGAGAAGTTTTGTGGATGAGACGGCGTGCAAACCCGCTGTACCGTCCGTACTGTTACCGGTGCTACGGGTTAAGAACGACCGATTTCTTGAGCAAGCCTTCATCGATGAGCTGGCTAAGTTCTACCCGACGATGTCTCTAAACAAGACAATTCCAGGGGGTCTAAGCACCGCTCGAAATTTCGACTCACACTGCGTTATAGAGGATATCGACGGAAACCAGCATGGGGCGTACAGTACAGCCCGGCGGGTGAGGTCAAGCGCCAGCATGACGTATCAAATGGCGTCCTAGAACAAGCCGTTGTTTTTGTACGTCAAAACCCGGACAAATTTACGTCCAAGAGCTGAAAAACATCGATTCAGTGTTTGGTGCTGGGTGGGATAGCCCGGTCACTGTACAAAACAAATTTCCTTGTGAAAGGAAATCGTATGAACGACGCGCAATGAAATCCATTTTGTGCTTCTGTTGGTCTCAAGTTCATTTACTTTTTCGTTTTTGTTTGATTGCTAGCTCATAAGACTTGTTGCTTTTAAATCAAAATGCTAATAAATTGGCGACAAAAATATCGGCACAAATAATTAAACAATCCAATATCACTGAGCAATACTGATTTAATTTTGTTTTGATTCAATAATGCTGTTTTTAAATGGCTTGCTATTTTAAAATGTACTCTTTTTTGTTTGATGCAGTGAAAAAAAAGAAAATGCATTGGCAACAATTTTACTGGAAATACCACTGCAGCTTACACAGCAAAAAATCGTGCTCATACATGTAGAATACATGTAGTTTAATGAGCTAGTACAAGGCAGGAAAATAGCAACAACACTTGGGTTAAAAATTGCAGCTACCATAAGCGCTGCAATATTCCCCGCTTTGCAACATTTCACTTTTGATTCATAAATACTACGTAGTTGTTCAATATTGTATTGCTTAAAATAAAATGTGTTTTTAATTCTGAAAGACATGTATTTTGTAAAAGGTGATATTGCTAGAAATGTAAACTAAATTTAAGTCAAAACATGTATTTTATTTTCATTTTTGGGCTGAATATACAAGTGCATGATCGCGCCCCATTCGATCGCACGGATCTACCGCTTCTGGTGGTTGATGAAGCGCAGCGCGATCAGCGCCAGTACGCGGAACACCACGATAAACCCAATAATCACGAAGAAGTAGCTCGTGATCGTGCTGTGCTTCATGCCGAAGTACTCCTCCGTGTACTCCCTGATGGTGATGTGGCCGACAGTCACGGGCGAGTCCGCCATCGGCTGGCAGCCGATCTTGGAGCCCACGTTCGTGTACGACTGTGTGGCTTCATCCCACGTCGGTAGATCGTCGCAGTCCGAAAAGATGAGAGCCACCAGGATGGACGTGGGGAAGCGTAGCGGCGAGATGTCGTACAGCCACGTGTACCCCGACGGGATCGCGTACGCCGGAGGACTGAAGCCCATAAATGTCATGAATATGGCGTTGAATAAGAGCCCGATGATGGCTGCCACCTCCTCGGACGGCATGGCGTACGCGAACATTTGACCCATGTACACCTGCATGAGCACACTGAGCGACGTGGCCAGCCAGAAGATGAAGGCCACGCCCACATCCGTGAAGCCTACCATCGGGTAGAACACCACCGTAAACAGAGCGCCGGCCACGAAGCAGTACGGGATCTCAGCCAGCGTGGAGCCCAGGAAGTACCAGAACGCGTTGTACGTCTGTGACGCGCGCTCGCGGTAGAACGAGGCGCGTTCGGAGCTCGCGAGCGGCAACACGCTCTGGAACGCAGTCATGGACAGGAACAGCGAAGCCATGTACACCATACCCACACCCGAGTTCAGGCCAGAGTACGACGCGTACTCTGCGTCCACGAACACGATGCCGAACAACAGCGCCAAGAAGATGACCAGGATCATACGAGTCAGGTTGTAGGTCGGCGTGCGCCAGTACATCTGGAAGAACCGGGTGACGACGAACTTCATCTGCGTCTTGGAATCGGCCGCACGTTTCTTAGCGAAAATCATCTCGGGCAAGTTGGGCGACGGGACGGTCACGCCTTCCTTGGCCATCTCACTGTCGAGCACTTGTCGGTACGAACTCTTGTTGAAGCAGTCCACGAAATTGGTCTGGTTTGCAGCGTTGCCTACTCCGGCGCCAATACACTCGAGCATCCAAGTGGCCGGGTTGTAGCCCTTGGGAAGCGGGGCCACGCCGGGGATGCTCTCAAAGTAGTCGACCAGGTTGTGGCAGTTCTTGCCCAGGTTGCCATAGAACACGGTCTCCCCGCCACGCTTGAGTAGCAGCAGACTGTCGAACAGGTAGAACACTTCGGATGACGGCTGGTGGATCGTACAAATAATGGTACGACCCGAGTCGGCCACCTTGCGAACACCGTCCATGATCAGCTTAGCCGAGCGCGCGTCCAGGCCGCTCGTCGGTTCATCCAGGAAAATCACACTTGGCTGCGCAGCCAGCTCCACGCCGATTGTCAGACGCTTCATCTGCTCCACTGAACTGCCACGGATGATCTGGTCGGCGATGTCTTCCAGACCGAGCAGCTCAATACATTCATTCACCGAGTCGTACTTTTTGGCGTCCGGAATCGAGGCGTCTTGACGTAGGAACGAGCTGAACGTCAACGCTTCACGAATGGTAGCAGCCTCCGAGTGCACGTCCATCTGTTCACAGTAACCGGTGCAACGACGGATAGCGAGATCATTGGCCTCGTAGCCGTTCAAAAGAATTTTGCCAGAAATCTTGCCGCCAGTCTTACGGCCGGCAATCACGTCCATCAGCGTCGTCTTACCAGCACCCGACGAGCCCATGAGAGCAGTGATCGATCCAGGGACTGCGAAACCGTTGATGCCCTTGAGCAAGTCCAGCGTTTCCTTCGGGTTCTTGGGGTCCGGCACCGAGTACCACAAGTCCTTGAATGCCACCGTCACGGGTGTGAAGTTCTTTTCACGCGTGTCCAGTTCAACCACATAGTCGTCCGCCGTGTTGGTTCCGCTCTTCGTCTTAGGCGTCTGTAGCATCGCATACGACTCGTCCTCCACTGTCTTCTCCGACACGTCCACGTTCTCAGGCACTTCGTAGCGGATGAATTCGAGGGCCAGGTAAGACAGGAACATGAACACCACATACAGGACCGCCGTGTAGATAATACCGTACACAATCCACTCCTTCTCCGTATCCATACCGAAGAGACCCAAGTAGTACTCGCCCATCTTGAGGCCGTATTCTGAACAGTAGTCCACGCCGTCGTACACACACACATCCATCGGTCCCGAACGGTACTGGTTGATGGCCAGCGCCTTGAGACTCCACGTCATGGGACTGATCCAGTGGACCCAGATGAGGTAGTCCGGGATCAGACTCTTGGTCACGATGAAACCAGCGAAGATGATGAACACCAGCACCGACATCATACCCAGAGGCGTGGCAATGTCACCGTTGCGACCGATGGCCGACAGGAAGAAGAACCACATGCCCATGGCCAGGTTAGACAGCAACAGGATGAACTCGAAGATGAGGAACAGCTTGGCCTCCGACACGAACCCGCACATCCAGTAGACCAGCGAGCCGAAGATGAGCGTCTCCACGACTGCCAACGGGATCTGACTGACCGATGTGGCCAGCACGTACGACGGGGTACGGAAGAAGTTAGCGCCGCGCTGCTTGTAGAACACGTCGCGCTCCGCCATGTACGTCGGGATCTGCGACGACTGACCCATGGACAGGAACATGACGGTGGCGAAGATGACGCCCATGACCACAGACACCTCCTTGGGATCGAAGTCGTAGAAGACTGTGGCGTACAGTAGAGCCATGATGACGATCATGAGCAGACGGCCGAAGATGAAGGGCTTGTTACGGTACGTCACCATGGACTGACGGTGGAGCAACGTCAACGTGCTCTCGACGAACGACTGGTGGAACGCCGGCGTCGGTTCCATCACCTCGGCCACGTTGCGTAGCAGGTCCTGTTCGTGCGGAGCCGCCAGCTCGTTGAGCATCTCCCGATGGACGTCGGAGCGACGGAAGAAATCCGCGAACTCGCCGGCACTGCGCGGCTGCTTCATGTGGTAGTTCTGCACCTGGTAGCGGTACTGTTCAGGTGTACCCAGATCCAGCAAGTAGTCGGCAATGTCGCGTTCAGGCGGACACGAGAAGCCCAGACTCTCGAAGTGCTTTTCCACGCGATGGCACGGGCCGTGGTACATGACTTGACCCTCGTTCAGGATCATGACGTCGTCGAACAGTGCAAACACCTCCGGAGACGGCTGCAGTAGGGCCACCACCACCGTCTTGCGGAGCGTGTGCGACACACTGCGCTGTGTGTTGATGATATCGTACGTGGCCGCACTGTCGAGACCCGTGCTGATCTCGTCCATGAGCGTCACGTACTTGGTACCGAACTCCATCTCGCCCGTCGTCACACGCTTGCGCTCACCACCGGAAACACCACGAGTCATGGCGTCACCAACGATGGTGTTCTGACAGTTCTGAAGGCCAAGCTGTTGAATGATAATGTCTGGGTAGTGGGCGAACACGGCCTTGGCCGCTTCGAGCGCCTCCAGGTTGTCCTGAGGGGACCCCTTGGACAACATCTCCTCGCCGCGCTTCGACAACTCGCCACCACAGAACTTGTGTGCGAACTCGAGCGTCTCCTTGACGGTGAGCATGGGGAAGTGCTTGTCGCGCTGGTTCACGTACGCCACGAACTGAGGCAGACGCTTAATAATCTGTTCACGCTGTACGTTGTTGAAGGTGATGTCGCCCTCCACTGTGATGTTCTTCTCGATGGGGAAGCGTCCACTAAGCATCTTAAGTAGTGACGACTTGCCGGAGCCAGGCTGGCCCAGAAGTAGTGTGATCTTGCCAGGTGCAAACATGCCGCTCACATCCTTAAGAATCTGCTTGCGCACGACGCGCTTCTTGGGGCCTACGAACGCCTTCTTTATGGTGTTCGGGATGGTCGGCAGCTCGTGCTTGACACCCGGGTCGTCCACCACGACGATGTCGGCACTGACCGAAAGGTTATTGAAGCGCACGTCCATCTGAGGCATGGCACGGCCCATAGCGGCGCCGATTTTGGAGGCGACATACTCGTGCAGAACCAGCGGACCCTCAGCCATGAGGGCCTGGCCAGACTCGAGGCCGAGCTTCTTGGCCGTCGTCGGCGACGGCTGCGTAGAAAGTTCCATGCTGAGGCTGAGCAGAAGAATGGAAAGTGAGTGAGACTGGCGGTCGTGGGGTGGACGAACAGACACAGCGTGTGCTGCATTGTACATGTACGGGGGGCAATTGATGATGTTGGCACAGAGGACTTGTTGTGACGGCCATAAGCACATCAAAGCTGTTTACGGTGTATCGCTAGACGAGTTAGCCTTTTTGGCGGTAATGCGTGGCGGGACGGACTCATTTCGGGCGTAGAAACTTAAGTTTTAAGCCAGAGTCTGTCTGTCGCTAAATATGGCAAGCTGATTCTATTGCCATGAATAAACTAAAAGCGCCATCATCAATCTAGGTTTAGGTCTTACTCTGACACCGAAAATAAGAAGCGAGTTGCTATCATCGAAAGGTAAAAACAGTGAGAGCGGCCTTATTGCTCCACTAAATTCGGAGCAGTCTCAACATGTAACGCATGAACTTAGAGAAAGATAAATAAACCCAAAGCTGTCGTCAGTAGATGCAGCCTCGGAGGCTGTTGCTGTCAAGCACTAAGCAGTACGGTCACCTACAGCACAGTACAGTACGGTATGATCATGCGCACGTCACGCGAGGAAAACCATGAGTTGATTTGCCGATTATGGCCAGCACCACCAGGAGCTGTAATGGCTCCTCACATCGAGATATAAAGGTCAATTTACCCCCATAACTATCCAGATGCCGACAGGACAAGCTTACCAAAAACAACAATAGCGAGGGTCATACGGTGGGTAGTGTCGTGTTGATGGCAAGACCCAACTCACCAGACCGTCGACTCGAAAAGCATGCCACAATCGAGAGATGATGCTATGCTTCAGACTTCAGTCGGTTTCAATCCTGCGATGAATCCTTGGCATTGGCATCAACGTTGGCATGTCGACGCAATTTACTTGGCAAAACTATGAACGCGTCAGATTCAGCTTACTGGAAGTACATGTAAGTATGTCGCAACACTACCGGATTTTCTTGACCAGTAAAAGTTGATGGCCTCTGTTGCCTTCTCCACCTGCACTGCTCATGGTTCAGTGTCTTGGGGCGTCGGTAAACAAAAAAAAGCATCGTTAAAAAATAAGCAAGTTTTTTTTAAGCAAAATGCAAAAAGAGTACATGTATTTGGAGGAACAAAAACATTTTTGTAATGCAGCTCGACTCCATCGGAACCGGTCGATCGTTTACCGCTTCTGGTGGTTGACGTAGCGCTGCGCAATGAGACCGAGGATTCGGAACAGAATGATGCACCCGATGACCACGAAGAAATAGCGCGTGATGTCGTCGTGCTCGAAGCCAAAGTATTGCTCCGTGTACTCCTTGATCGTGATGTGGCCGACCGTCGCAGGCGAGTCCGCCATCGGTTGGCAGCCTAATTGGGAGCCAACGTTCTCGTACGACTGCGTAGCGTTGTTCCAGGTAGGCAATTCATCGCAATCGGCGAAAACCAGAGCCTCCATGATCGATAGTGGAAATCTCAGTGGTGAGATCTTGTAGAGCCACGTGTAGCCCGACGGAATGGAGTACGCCGGAGGGCTAAAGCCCATAAACATCATACAAATTGCATTAAATAACAATCCGATGATAGCGGCCACTTCCTCCGAAGGCATCGCGTAGGCGAACATCATACCCATGTAAACTTGCATCAACACCATACGCGAAATAGCCAGCCAGAAGAGCACACCGGTTCCAAAGCCCGTAAAGCCAACAAAAGGGTAGTAGACGACCGTAAAGAGAGCTCCACTGATGAAGCAGTACGGGATCTCAGCTAGCGTCGATCCAACGAAATACCACAGCGCGTTGTAAGTCTGAGCCGCGCGCTCGCGGTAGTATGAAGCACGCTCGGAACAGGCCAACGGGAGAACACTTTGAAACGTCATCATGGCCTGGAACAGTGCAGCCACGAACACCATGCCAACACCCGAGTTGAGACCAGAGTACGAAGCGTAGTCCACGTCCACGAAGATAAGACCGAACATCATGGCAAGGACTAACGCCAAGTACATGCGTGTCAAGCTGTAGCTGGGCGTACGCCAGTACATTTGAATAAAACGCCACACCACAAACTTCATCTGCGTCTTGGAATCGGCTGCACGCTTCTCCGTGTAAATCATCTCAGGCAGATCCGGTGACGGCACAGAAATGCCTTCCTTGGCCATGTTCGCCATCAGCGTACGGTTAAGCACACTGTTCCTGAAGTAGTTCACGAAATCCGTAATGTGTGCAGCCGTGTTACCCACACCGGCACCAATACACTCCAACATCCAAGTGGCCGGGTTGTAGCCCAAAGGCAGTGGAGCCACACCGGGGATCCCCTCAAATCAGGTTACGGCACTTCGGGCCCAATTCACCGTAGAACACCGTCTCACCACCACGCTTAAGTAGCAGCAGGCTGTCGAACAGGTAGAACACTTCGGACGACGGCTGGTGGATCGTACATATAACGGTACGACCCGAGTCGGCCACCTTGCGCCATGATGGTGTTGGATATTCTGTCCAAAACGAGTCCAACTTTGTCCAAATTATCCAAAACAAATTGCTATTTTGGTGATAAATTACCATATTTATCCAAAATCTGTCCAAAACAGATGCGTTATTTTATTAATTACGGATCTAAATATTACATTTTTGCTAGTAAATGTAAGGCTGTAACGGTTGGCGTGTAGTGCGTTCTCGAGCTAGGGCATTACTTAATTCAGGCATTTCCCAAATGCTGCACAAAGGGAAGGAGTACGTGATTAGGACAACGAACAAAGGCACTGGCACCATCTACTACAACTGCCGTCATTTCCGACAAGGCTGCCTTGCAAAGCTGATATCGAAAAGAGAACACGTACGCGCTCGCGGTGAGCACAACTGCGAGAATTTACTGCCGAAACAAGTCGTGGATGTGCGGTGTGAAATGCGTCAGCAGCTCCAGCGAGCGGCCCTAGAATCAGCGTCTGAAGCTCCATCAATGGTGTGGGAGCGTGTCCGCTCAGCATTGAACAACTTACACAAAGGAAGCACACTGAACGCCATCCCAAAGCTGCTAGGTGTCAACATTGTCAAAAATACCCGCAAGGGTATGGGTTGCGATATGCTACACTCGCTCGACAAGACCGAGGCGCGCTGGCTCAGCGACTCGGACAAACGCTCCTTTGTGAGGTTTAACACTGGGTTCTCTGTCAAGAATAAGGAGCGCCGTATCGTAGGATTTGGGCACCCAGATCTAGTCCTCAATAACCCGCTCGAAAAGTACAACCGCGACTTCGGCGAGAAATTTGGGCGTGGAGCTCATCCAAGCTTACTGGCGTTCATGGAGACAGCTAAAGCCGAGGCACTAGGTTACGTGAGCCGCATCCATGACATCAAGCTGGGAATTCAAACAGCGCCTCGCCACGCTGAAGCTGTCGTCACTCAAGTCCCAGACGACTACATGAACTTCATGTAAACAGTTTGAACAGCTTTTGGACAGTTTGGATAGCTTTTGGACAGTTGGGATAGCTTTTGGACAGTTTGGATAGCTTTTGGACAGTTTGGATAGCTTTTGGACAGTTTGGAGAGTCCTGGAAAAAATATACAAAACAATCTTTTAGATTATTAAATCCGTCATTTATCAATTGGACAATTTGGACATTGTTGGACTCGTTTTGGACAGAATATCTCCTTCCTCCATGATCAACTTAGCCAAGCGCGCGTCCAGGCCACTCGTCGGTTCATCCAGAAAAATCACACTGGGCTGCGCAGCCAGCTCCACACCGATCGTCAGACGCTTCATCTGTTCCACTGAACTGCCACGAATGATCTGGTCGGCGATGTCTTCCAGACCCAGCAGCTCAATACACTCATTCACCGAGTCGTACTTCTTGGCGTCCGGGATCGCGGCGTCCTGACGTAGGAACGAGCTGAACGCCAACGCTTCACGAATGGTAGCAGCCTCCGAGTGCACGTCTATTTGCTCGCAGTAACCAGTGCAACGACGGATAGCGAGGTCGGTGGCCTCGTAGCCGTTCAATAGGATCTTGCCAGAAATCTTGCCGCCAGTCTTACGGCCGGCAATCACGTCCATCAGCGTCATCTTACCAGCACCCGACGAGCCCATAAGAGCAGTGATCGTACCGGGCACGGCGAAGCCGTTAATACCCTTGAGAAGTTCAAGCTGTTCGCTTGGGCTCTTGGGGTTGGGCACGAAGTAGTGCAGATCTTCGAACGCCATAGTCACAGGAGTGAAGTTCTTCTCATGATCGTCAAAATCCACAATGCAGTCTCCGGTTGCCTCAGTGGATCTGACGTTCTTGGAGGTCTTTAGCATCACGTACGATTCGTCTTCGATCGGCTTCTCGGACACGTCGACGATTTCGTAGCCGGGGGCTTCGTAGCGTAGGTACTCCAGTGTCAGGAAGGACATGACCATGAAGAGAACGTAGATCACAAGCGAGTAGATGATGCCGTACGTGATCCAATACTTCTCAGTCTCGATGCCGAACAGGTCCAGGTAGTACACGCCCATTGTCTTCCCGTAGTCTGCACAGTAGTCGATGCCGTCATAGACGCAGACGTACATGTTATCGGACCGGTACTGGTTGATTGACAGAGCTCTAATACTCCACGTCATGGGACTGATCCAGTGCGCCCAAATGAGGTAGTCCGGGATCTGACTCTTGGTCACGATGAAGCCGGCTAAGATGATGAACACCAGTATGGACACCATACTAAAAGGTGGGACGACATTCTCGTTCGGTCCAACAGAACTCAGGAAGAAGAACCACATTCCCATGGCCAGGTTCATCACAAAGAGCACGAACTCGAAGATCAGGAACAGTTGGAATTCGGACTCGAAGCCACAGAGCCAATAGACCAACGACCCGAAATAAGCGTCTCAACTAGCGCCAGTGGGATCTGACTGGCCGACGTGGCCAGCACGTCCGACGCTGTCCGGAAGAAGTTGGCACCTCGCTGCTTGTAGAAGACTTCGCGCTCGGCCATGTACGTCGCGATCTGGGACGATTGACCCATGGACAGGAACATGACCGAGGAGAAGACAACACCCAACACGACCGAGACTTCGGTCGGGTCGAAGTCGTAGAAGACCGTACAGAACAGCAGACCCATGACTACGATCATGAGCACACGACCGAAGATGAAGGGCTTGTTACGGTACGTGATGGTGAGTTGACGTCGTAGTAGAGTCATAGTGCTGTTGACGAAAGACTGGCTGAATTCAGGCATCGGCTTCATGTTCTTCTCGACGCTTTGCAGTAGTTCCAGGTCGTACGGGGCCTCTAGAGCGTACAGTGAGTCCTGGTAGATGCGAGACTCGCGGAAGGCGTTGGCGAACTCGTTCGCACGTCGCGGCTGCTTGGTCGGACCTTCGATCTGGTACTGGTACTGCTCGCGAGTGCCCAGATCCAGCAAGTAGTCGGCGATATCACGCTGAGGCGGGCACTTAAAACCAAGAGTCTCAAAGTATCCCTCCACCTTGTTGCAGGGTCCGTGGTACATGAGCTGGCCTGGGGGGATCTTACTCGCGAGTACAAAAAGGATGATCTCCGAGTACACATACAAAAAGGATGACTTGCGAGTACAATTTGGGAAAAAGGTGGATTGGCGAGTATGGTATCATAAAAGGTGGATCACCGAGTACATTCGCAAGAACCGACAAGTTTGGTCAGTGTCACCGGAGACTATGGGATGACTCGCATACCTAGTGCGTGACTGTAGGCGACAGCAGCTGCGAGCTGTTCCACGTCCATAAGCTCCACCTTGCCGGTTGAGAGCTTGACCTTCCACTGATAGCGACCGCCATTTTCGAGCCAACGGTCGACATGTCCAGGCACATGCTCACGTAGAACTTGCCCCCTGTTCTTCACACTAAACTCCTTGGTCACGTGCCAGTGTGTTGGCGCGGCGGGGCTTTCCATGAAAAGCTGCTCCAGGTGCGAGACACCGAAGAACCGCGCGTCGCTTTTGTTGAACCGCGTGCGGGCAAGCGCGCCGCGGGATTTGAACTGACCTCCCGGGCGTCGTCGAACTGGCAGCACACTCAACAACGCGTCGATGCTGATCTTCTCGAGGAGCGCCATCGTCGCGACAATGTGCTCGCACATCCATCCTGACTGGCGTGACTCAGAGCAATCGCACACATAGCACTGACGCACCATTCGGATCTAGAGTAAGAGCAGTCAGAACCGTCGCTGCCATGTGGGATTGAGATGAGATCAAGTACGTACATCGTCTGCACTCCATTTTGGAGACACCTCGAACGGGTCATGCTCGCTGTTGAGTACTTGAACGCGGTAGAGTGACTGGTAGAGCAGTTGGGCCTCCGAAGCGCGTCCTCGTGGGATTGATGCACCGACAGTCGGGTAAAGCTGGGCTCGTCGGCTGGAGGCGGGGAACCCGCGCCATCGTCGATGACTGCGAGCGCCTCCGGCATGGCGACTTTGAGAGTACAGCTGAACACCAAGGCAGCAACAGGAAACCCACTACTCGCCCCAACAAGCCTCTACCAACCATCGGCAGCCTCTACCAGCCACCGGTAGCCACAGCCAACCATCGCTAGCCACAGCCAGCCACCAGCAGTCACAGGCAGCCATTGGTTGCGACAGGCATCAAATGGGGTGCACCACATATCCGTAAATAGCGTTTCCTAGTGAGCCATAAATAGTGTTCTCCGTGTAATCGGGAACTCGCAACTCATTCTTTTCGAGCCATGGACTCGCCAATCCACCCTTTTTCCCATTTGTACTCGCAAACCAACCTTTTTGAGCATGTACTCGAAAATCATCCTTTTTGTACTCCGATATAATCCGCACCCAGCTGGCCTTCGTTCAGGATCACGACGTCGTCGAACAGGGCGAACACTTCAGGCGACGGCTGCAACAGAGCGATGACGACGGTCTTGCGCAGCTTGTGCGCTACACTGCGCTGCGTGTTGATGATATCGTACGTGGCCGCACTGTCGAGACCCGTGCTGATCTCGTCCATGAGCGTCACGTACTTGGTGCCGAGCTCCATCTCGCCCGTCGTCACACGCTTGCGCTCACCACCGGAAACTCCACGGGTCATTGCGTCACCGACGATAGTGTCCTGACAGTTCTGAAGTCCTAGCTGTTGAATGATCACCTCGGGGTAGTGTGCGAACAGAGCGTTCGCGGCTCTCAGAGCCTCGGCGTTTTCCTCGGGAGTGCCCTGAGTTAGTATCTTCTTGCCGTGCTATGACAGCTCCGCACCACATAATTGGTGCGCGTACTGAAGTGTTTCCTTGACGGTGAGCATGGGGTAGTGCTTGTCGCGCTGGTTCACGTATGCTACGAACTGCGGTAGCGTCTTAATCATCTGCTCACGGTCGACGTTGTTGAACGAGATGTTGCCCTCCACGGTGATGTTTTTGGTCATCGGGAACCGGGCACTCAGCATCTTTAACAGAGCCGACTTCCCCGAACCGGGTTGGCCCAGCAACAGCGTGATCTTTCCAGGTGAGAGCACACCGCTGACATTTTTGAGGATTTCTTTACGGACCACACGCTTCTTGGGACTGATGAATGTCTTCTTCAACGTGTTGGGGATGGTCGGCAGTTCGTACTTGGAATTGTCGTCGTCTACTACAACCACATCTGCAGTGACCGACAGGTTGCTGAAGCGTACGTCCATCTGCGGCATGGTTGTGCCTAGAGCCTTGGAAACCACAACAATGGAGGACCACGAACGGCTCGCATGGCAGTATCCGGAAACCCCTATCGAGTACAGAAGACCCAATGTACCACTTGGAGACCCACATCTCGTTTATGTTGAGCCAGGTGAGTATCTGTTTGAGCTCTCGCCAGTGATCAACGAGGATGAACATCAACATCTGTAGCCATTGCATACTTCAGCATCCGCATCTCTGATATCGAGAGATACCGCGGTCATTTCGTCGGTAAATTTGGATATACTACTTCGATTGGAGAGCGACGGTCTTATCTACCAAAGCCGCTCGTGGTCGGAAAAACAAAATCCCTCCAGATCGGTTACGAATAATTTTACGCCATGCACTTATGGATTTGTTTCCCGAGATGAACTTCCTTCATGGCGTGGAGAATGCATTGCACAACAGACTTCGACCATTGCGTATGCGATATTACTCCCATGGTATGACGAGATACGCTGGAAATCGATGTCGCCATAGTGACTCTTTTGAGTATATCACATTCACAAGAGATTCTCAAGCGCTTTTCTCATCGGTGTGAGACGACGCAAATTGCAGTCGTCGAATTACACGGAATGTAATTGCTCGCGAGCACAAACGGCACCAGCGCGAGATTCAAGATGAGATGAGCGAGCGTCGACGCTGTCAACGTGTTGTGATAGAGCACCGTCGAAGCTCTCACCGAGCTACAGTGTGGGTGCTTTAGCGTCACTTGATACGATCGCAATACGCCAGAACAGTGTTCCCGTGTGATACAACAGCTGCGAGCAAGACAGGATCGCCGAGCCGAAGGTCTTAAATATAGGCATGCAAAGGAGAGAGAAAGATTCGAGACATATCTGCAGAATACAATTCTTTGAGCTGACGCCCAAAGAATTCATAAGGACAAGATTGTAGCCGCATTGGTAACGCCGAAGATTTCGCTTACGAGATTACAACTCCAAAATGCCGTTCGTTTACGCTTAGCTGGGGATGAAAGTTACGCTATTAAGAATCACGTTTGCTATAAAATTTGTCTAGATCGAATTATTCGCCATGATTGCTATTCTTTTGTTTCTGCCAGTGTAGCGGGACTCGACAGCGGATGTCGAGCTTACTCTTTGTGAGGCTTTGATATCTTCCTTGACGACCAACGGAAACGTTCCTTGCTGGGGCTGCACAAAGATATATTTCGTTTTTATGGGTTAATGCTCTCTGTTTCAGGTTTCTTTCAATAGCCTCGCCCAAGAAACTACATTTGTCCATACGCTAGCATGATCTACAGTAGTACTACGTAGTAGGTTGCACTTGTCCACTGGTACAAGCCTTGTTCTTCTTCTTGAGTTTCCTATTCATGTTAGGCTTCATCTACTTAGATTACATCTACGGATGCTCACCAGCGGTAGCTTCGGACAGTAGGACCGAGCGCGGGGTACGTATCGCAGCTGGAATGACCATTTCATCACTGATAGTGGCATTGTCGCTACCAGCGATAGGAACGACCACCGCAAAACTCACAGATCCCACTGCGTCTTTTTCTCTGCCTTCTGAAACGCGTCGTAGCAGTTCTTTTTAGACTCCGTAGACGTATTCACTGCAGTCGTAACCAAATCATGCAGCCGAAGGTGCTCTTTAGCATTCCTGTCGTTTAAAGCAATCACCCCGCGACCTTCGGTTCTGAGCCGCTTCTCTTTACTGTCAAGTAGCGGTTCCCATTTGGAACAACGGTTTCGCTCACCAACTGCAGCGGTCATCAGCGCTGGTGATTGGAGTACGTTTGGCGTTGTGGGCTATACAGCCTCACTTTCAAATGCTTCGGAATGCGCCGACCCCCGTAATAAACCAATCTTTTATTGGCGGGTGTGGGTCTAAATAACGGTGGAGAAGGCGGCGTCGAAGTCGAAGTTCTCGACGGGTTGTCCGACATCATTGGCATCGATTCGTGGCAAGCTGGTAAATGGTTGCATTTCTTGCCGATCTCCCTCTCGGAGGGCGATGGCTAATGCTGAGGTCTACTACAGTAGTCTGTGGAGGCCCGCGAATGCCGACATTCTTCTTACTGAGATCACGCATGAGCTGACGTACAAAAGGTTCTCTAACAGGATTTCCATATCCGCGGGCTTCTCTATATTTGTCTTTACGAGCGCACTAAGTGCTCACATCGGTACCGTCGCTTTTTTTGACAGAGGGAAAGTAGCTGACCTCGCTTTTTCAGCTGTTTGGAGTGAAATAGAAGTGGAGGCCGAGATCCTCTGCAAGTACGACCAATACGACTGGAAGCTCGTGGTGGCGCTCGTTTCTAGGATCATTGTAGCTGCTAGCGACGTAGAATTCTGTATACGTCTTGAAACTCGCCTCGTAGACAATCTGCGTAGTTTTCTTAATCACCTCGGGAGCTGAGACCTTTTTGCCAGCACTCGGGTCCCCATCTTTTAATGAAGACTCAGATTGCAAAGTGGTCATGTAGCTCACAGCCACCAGAAGATTGGCTTATTTTTTAGTCTGATCACGTACACATTGATTAGAACTCGTACAGTACATTTGAGCATGAGCTCGTACTCTTAAGTCTGATCCATACTGTTTGGATTTGTACCTTGATGTCTGACAGCTTGGCATAAGCACGTCCTTTTTGGAATGACTCACCTTAACATTTTCCGCACGGTACCTTTTTTTTAAAGACAAAAATAGGTGGTCGAAAATAACCTTATCAGTTTTTGCTCATTATCACATCCTGATTGGTCAAATAACACCACACAATGTCAAAAAGGCTACTAACGGACGCGCCCTGGACTATATTAAATAGTGCCGCCCGAAAGTGACAGAGAGGACTTTAAACAGGTGAGGACTTTATTTCCTTGCTGATATGATTCGTGTCTCAGGTTAATATCGTCTAACATATCATCTAACTCTAAAGGATGTCCCAGATCGACGTCTTCGTACATGAGAGTGTCTCCCTGCACAGTATTTAAAAGGCCCATTTCAGTGAGGACAAATCTTTTGGTTGTCTTCGGATGTGCATTTTGATCATCGGATGTGCATTTAGATCTTCGAATGCTCACTCGGATGCAGACGATCATTCCTAAAGCTTAATGGCTGTCACAAGTCTCCCCCCTCCCCCAGTCAAAAGAATCCCAGCGTTTCCAAAAAGCAGCACGAGTCCGACGTCTGCTGTATCGACGCCCGCCATGCCACGCCACCAGCCCCGTTACAGCGAAAGAGGGTGACGAAGACCTAGCAAGCGTTGCGTCAAGATCTAACAGCGACGGCGAAACCCGCGACATTGCAGTTCATTCAATCTCACGGAAAAAGAAGAAGAGATTAAGAAGGCATCCTACCGCCCGAGATCGAGCGGTAACCAAGCGAAGAAAGCAATTGCCTCATCGATTATCCTCGCGTCGCCACAACTCTTCTAGACGCAGAAATGAAGAATCATTGAACGTTCAGGATTCGTCAGTAGAATCCGAGCACGAGAAGGGATCTCATTCTTCATTCGCATCAGACTCTGATGCGAGCAGTCAAAATTCGTCCGATTCGGAAACAGAAGGATGCGACGGAGGTGACATCGCTCCTCAAGACGAATTAGTGGACGTACCGGATCTGGATGTGACGGCGTTCGACAGCTGGGGCGCGTTGGAGTCGTATCTGAAGGCATACAGCAGGAAAACATTCCAGGTTTGTGCTGCTTAATCTGTGAGACAGTCTGAGACTGTGAAACAGTTTCTGAAATTGTACTAAATTCTTACTGTGATCAGATTTACACCATTCGAACAAACACTCCAATGCGGACAAGAAACGCTAGAATGCAGAGAAATATGTCTGCTTTCAAGCTAGTCCCTGAGGAGTTTAAGTTCTACAATAAAACCTACGTATTTGTCCTACTTTTCGTTGAGCTCCAGCTTTATGGAGTGCATGTCACTGGACTGGACAGTGAAAGCGGGATCAGACAAACGATGGAATTCTTCCGGTACAGATACTTAAGTCTTATATTATCGTCAATCTAAGCTTTTTTTGTAGTTATTTTTTGTCAATGATTCTTTGTAAAAGGAATGATATCGACCGGTGTGCATACATATGAAAGGCTTTACGAAGCAGGGAGTACATTGCGGCGAGGCGAACACCGCGGTGAAGCCGCTTGAGTGGTGCTTAGATAAGTTTAAAAAGTCGAGTTGCCGCCACACTCACCGACAATCACTCTGGTTTTTTCATACGTTCTTGTACCCGAAGATGCACCTGTTTTGGTCGCTAACGTGCTAGCCTTTCTGACCACATGGATCAGCAATCTGCGCGAAGAGAACATAATATAGCCGAGACTGTGCATCGGCTGCACAGTCTAAATTTGAGACTGTGCAGGTAGTCTCTGCCCTTCGTCCATATGCGGTTCCTTCGACCACTTTTCACGAAATTTAGCGCCATACACATCGTGCTTGGATAAAAACCACGACGAGGGGTCTCTCGAGAAGCCTGCTATTTTAGCGCTCCGCATGATTGTTGCCTTATCCGTGTCTCGCCACGCGCGAAGGCCCCAATCGCTAACGGTGTCAACACTTGGCATACGTGGGCTACCAAAGCGAGTGCATTCGACTCGGTCTGACTCTTTCCAAACGTTATTTCCATGTACAGTAGGTCCTTAAAACGACATATTTAGTCCACTTGATCACCTCTTGCTTACGCTCACTGCTAGCCGACTGCCTTTGATGAGGCACTATTGGAAATGACGGAAAAGTGTTTCTCTCTGTAGAATGGATGGTCAGCAAGTTTGTAATAGCAGATTTGGTAGCTTTTATAAGGTTTCTATTCGGGAGAGGCTTGTATTTAATAGTGCAGGCAGCACCCCACAGGACACTATTCGGTAGGGGGCTTTTATTCGGCGCATCCGTTATTCGAGTTTCTCAGGCTTGTAAAAAAAATTACAGGAAGCAAAAACACAAAACTCTTTAATGAAGTACATGTATCGCAATGTCCCTTGATGAGCCAGGGGCTAAATTCGGTTCCATAGATTCTCTACCTTGATTAACCCCAGTTAGCGCCCGTTCACTTCTTCTCCGACCGTTATAGCCTCCTTCACACTGCCACAGACCGTGGGCCGCATGGGGCGCAAGAAGCTCGGCGTCGTGAGTCTCGCACTCATCACGTACTTTAACGTAAGTGGTGGGCCATGGGGGTCGGAGCCCATTGTGGCCGCGTGCGGGCCGTTTGTCGGCATCATGGCGACACTCGTGTTTCCGTTTATCTGGTGTCTGCCATTGGCCTTGTCATTCGCCGAGTTGTTCTCTGCGTTCCCGACTGATTCGAGCTTCTGCACTTGGGTGGGCAAGGCTTTCGGTCGTCGCATGGGGTTCCACGTAGGGTATTGGAGCTGGGTTTCAGGCGGTACGTTTGTTACCAAAATTCTGCGCTTAAATGTGTAACTTTGACAAATTTGCCCACTTCCAGTGATCGACAACGCCATCTACCCGTGTCTAATGGTAGATTCCGTCTACGCAGTGCTAATGGGACCTCACGAGCTGCATTCCTTCATGGTTCCTACCTGGATGTACCTCGTTAGAGTTACAGTTGCCACCGTATTCATGTTACCGACGATTTTCAGTATCGACGCAGTCGGCCGCTTCCTCTTAGTACTTGGCCTTGCAATGGTCGCTCCGTTCGTCGTACTGGTAGTCGTGAGTGTCCCTCAGATTCATCCGGCCAATTGGTTTGTCGTCAGTGCCGCTCCACAATGGAGTCAACTCGTTAGCGTCCTCTATTGGAGTTACAGTGGCTTCGACGCGGCCGGAGCTTACGCGAGTGAAATCGACTCGCCACGGCAAACGTATCCACGGGCCATGATGCTCACTGTCGGGTTAGTGGCTCTCACATACTCCGTCCCATTCCTTGCAGCGTCGGGTGTCAACAAGCCGTCGTACAGCTTATGGCGCGATGGATACTACCCTATGATCGCCGAGAAAATCTCCGGACCAGGATTGCGTACCTGGTTCCTCGGCTGTGCGCTGCTAGGAAACCTAGGCGTCTACATCGCCAAGATGACCAAGAACGGCTTCCTGTTGGCCGGTATGGCCGATCTCGGGCTTGCTCCGAACTTCTTCATCAAGTACGTCAGGACTCTTTAATTTTCCCCCTAAAAATCGTGCTCTAATTCACTATACTGTATACAGACGTACAGCCTCTAACGGGGTTCCTCGCCGAGCTATCCTGCTCTCGCACGGCATCATCGTCTTCATGGCGTTGTTTGACTTCAACATCATCTTAGGTGTCGACAACTTCCTGTCCTCCTTGGCTTGTGTCACTGAGCTCTGCGCTGTCGTCCGGTTACGGTATACCATGCCTACTCTTATACGCCCGTATAAGGTCAACATCTCGGATCGAGGACTACTCATCGCCATGGCCATCCCGTTCTCCATCGGGTCGTTCGTCATGCTCAACGAACTCACCAAGTCAACGCTCAGCCTGACACTCAACGTCATCGCATTGGCCAGTGGACTAATGTGTCACCAATTCCTGCACCGACCTCCAGCATCTGTGTATACACCATTAGCGGCTGCTATACAGCTCGAGTTGGGTACGCCAGCACCCGGAGGAGGAACCTTCAGCATTGTTACACCCGCGTCGCCGTCCACGCTGGAACAACAGAAAGGCGTGTAACATTTAGACATCAAGCCACTACATGTACACAACGCCCTATTCTCTTCATATATTTGTCCAGTGTTACCGTAATACAGCACCGTGGTCCATACAACACGCTACGGCAGCGTCGCGTCCTGGCCAGACTCCGACACCGTGTCCTTGTCCGACAGCTCGTGGATCGACATCCGCCCCTCTCCGTTCTTCCCCGACTCGTCGTATTCCTTCGAGTCCACCTCAGTCGACGTAGCCACTGCACTGTCACCGAGCTGTAACATGTCGTTGGATATTTCAATTGGCTCGGCAGTGGTAGACACCGCGCTGCTACTTAACTGCAGCCCATCAAACATCTCGTTACGCGTGTCTGTCGAAGTATCCGACGTGTGTACAGCACTGCTACTTAACTGTAACCCACCGAACATATCTCCCATCTGTGCGTCGCTGGGGCCTGCGCTCAACTGCAAGCCATTGAACATGTCGCCACTGTCACCACGAACAGCATCCGCGTCCTTTTCGTCCTTCTTGTCCTCTGTCTTCTCAACTAACGACACTGACGATGAGCTGACCTGAAAGTTGCCACTCATGTGCAGACCCCCGAACAACGAACCAGACGCAGACGGCGCCACCAAACTAGCGTCCGGTCTGGCTACTTCAGGGGTTCCAAAGAACGAATCCTTCATGTCCGAAGACGTCGGCGAGTGCACTTCCGCTTTGTCCGGTGCTGCGTCTTCATCTTCCGCCACTTGGTCCTCGTCTTCCACAGCGGCTTCAGTCGGGACTTCCGTTGAACTCTCCGACGTCGCTGGACCATTACTCATCTGCAGTCCACCGAACAGAGATCCACTCGTATCTTCCTTAACCGACTCGTGGCTTCCAACAGGACTGTCAGTCTTGACGTCCAATCCTCCGAACATCGTGACATCACTAGAGCCCAGTTGAACACAGATATCCTTCTCCTGCTCTCGCAACGTCCGCAGCTCTTCATCATACGTCGCAGCCGTGTCATAGTCCTCGTTCTCCGTCGCCAACTCGATCTGTTTCTCCAACATCACAGTGCGCACTTGGATCGTCTCGACCGTCTGCGTCAACTCGTCCTGACTCCGCACCGCGCTCACTGGACTCACCATTTCTTCGTGCGCGTACTCCACCTCGGCTTCCTCGTCCAGTTCGTGACTTATCGAATCGATCTCGGCCTCGTCCACAGACTCATTCTCTTCAATCTCCTGTGAGATGGAGGCCTGTAGAGCCTGCTGACGATCCTTCAAGTCTTCGATCTTCTCGTCCAGTCTAGCAGCCAAGTCGTAGTCCTCGTTCTCCGTGGCCTTTTCAATCTGCGACTCCAGCTCCACAAGGTGCGCCGAGATCTCTTCTAACGCCATGCTGCTGTCTTCCAGCGCCTCCACATCCACATCTAAAGCCTCAATATCCGTCGCTCTACCCGTCAAACTCGAGCGCGAGACAGACACGTGGTCACTCTCGTCGTTCTCGTCGCCATCCACCGACTCGTCGTCGTCGTCCACGTCTTCGTTCTTTGCGGGGTCACACACGTCGTACTTCTTCTCCAACATCTCCACTTGTAACATACACGCGTCGTACTCGGCTTGAACCAGCAACATGGCCGACGACCGGAAGTCAATGCCGTCGTCGCCCTCACTTTTACACTTCTCGATCTTCCGCAGCGCCGTTCTCAAGTGCTTGGCCTCCTTCCAGAGCTCTTGCAACGTGGCTAACTCGAGATGTTTCTCCATCTCCTTCAGCTCCTTCTTCTTCTCTTCAAACTCCACTTCACGCTTGCCGATACGTTCCTTCAGATCTTGCAGCTCCATCTCCACCACTTTCACCAACATCTCTTCTGCCGTGCGCGCGATTCTTTCCCAAAGCCCTAAATGTCCTTTCGAGAATCCGCGCCCGCGTCCTTAAAGTTACGTTGCGCAGCAGCCCCCTCTTCTCCTGCTCCAAGCGTGGGATCATCGCCTCGGCCGACGCGATAGCATTGCGATGGATCGACATGGATTTCTCCAGCTCCTCGTGCTGGTTACTGAGCATCGTGAAGCTCTGCTCGGCCACGGCCGCTGCGTCATTCAGCGAGCTCAGCTCCGCCGTCTGCTGCTTCTTCCGGATCATCGACTGCTCCCGTCGCGTCTCCTGGACCTCCAGCACATTGGCCAACAACGCTGCCGCGCGCATCTCCTTCTTCACAGCGCCGATGCGTCTCCCAATGACTGTAATATCCTCCGCGTACTGCTTCAACTTCTCCTGGAAGTCCTGACGCTGTTGCTCGAGTTGCTGGCCGTCCGACTCCACCTCTGCCTTGGTCTTCTTGATGCCTTCTTCACGGTCCGCAATGCGCTTCAGTTGACGCGAATAGCGTCCCCGCACCGTGTCGATATCTCGCTGCGCAGTGTCGATAGACGACTGGATCTCCTGGACGCGCTCCAGCTTTTCCTTTAGCTTCCGTTCCAGCTCCCGCACTTCTTCTTCCACGGCCTCCTTCTCCTCCATCAGCTGCGCTTGGATCGCAAACTCGGCGCTGCACTGGCCTTCGATCGTCGCCTCGATCTCCGACTTCTCGGCCACCACGTTCTCCAGACTTACAGACACGTGATGCATCTCGGTATCGATGCGCTCGGCCTCAAACTGCAGCT